TGTATTCGGCGGGAGGGATGTCATCCACGGCCGGCTGTCCTGCACATCGTCAGCGTCGCTGGCCAGGAATGCGGTCGTGAGGTCGGGCGATGAAGATGCCTGGGACCTGCCCAACTGCCTGCAGTCCGGCACCCTCGCGAGTGCTGGTCGCAACTGGAAGACGTGTCGGCGCTAGCGACGGATCGTCGCGCCGACAGCAACGTTGCTGTTGCGGGGCCGGTACTGAGGTGAAGTCTAGCCGGACAGTGCAGCAGTGTCGACCACCGGCGGTGTTATGGTGCAAGGACATTATGGTCGTGCGATATCATTTTTTTGTTGAAGCTTGTGTAGCTAATTTCTGATTTCGGGATATGGTTTGATTTAAGGTTGGGGGAATGTGGGGGTCTGTAAAGTTGTCTGTGCCGCGTAGCACACGTGTCTTGCCCCAAGGCTTTATTTCGGTGGTGACCACCGCCGGGCGATAGATGGCGTTGTGTTCGCTTTGAGTACCACTGTTGGTAGAGTGGTAGCGCCAACGGTGGCCCCTGGCGGAAGGCAGGCCTTGGCGGTGGGCGAGCGTTGAGCGAGCCTCTTCTGCGCGTGGCGACTGCCGTGAACGGTTGTCTGTAGCGTGGGTCCCCGGTGCTCGGCACCGCAGGCTTCGCGCCGTGGTCCCACGTGGAAAGTCAGGCGTTGGCGACGGCGCTTGTTAGTATGTGTTAGCGTGTTGGTGTGTGTTTATCATGTTGTTGTGTGTTTAGTGTGTCACTGCGTTATGTTGTTTGTATGGTAGCGTGTTAGTTGAAATCGGTGTATCATTCGGCGGACGATATCGTCGTCTAAATTAGTTAATAAATGTATGTATGTTGTGTGCTTTGTACCGACCGCGTCTACTGTGTCCGTTCACTCCAAGAGCGTGGCGTGGCGATGCGCTCGTTCGCCTCGCCAAAACCCCACACTGGCGCTCGTTCGCCTCGCCGAGACCCCAAAGGGGGTTAACGTCCCAAAAGCACCATATGATTATAAGAGACGCCGTAGTGGAGGGCTCCGGAAATTTAGAACACTTGGGGTTCTTTAAAGCGCACCTAAATCTGAGCACAGGGGCCTACAGCATACTCGCCCCCAATGAAAATGCAGCCGTTGCAGCTGGGATTCGATCCCGCGACCTGCGGGTCAGCAGCCGAGTACCTTAGCCACTAGACCACTGCGCCAGGGCGAGTCTTGACAAATGTGTTAGCGTACTGTGCAGCTATGCCCAGAGATTGATGGCGTCAGATTATCTAACGTTGCCCTTCGCACAACTAGGAAACATCGGCTTCACACAGCAGCAAATTCTGTGGGTCGATGGAGATTTTTGAATAATAGTGCATCATTTAAGTGCACACATGCATCGAGAAAAAGCCACACGAGTTGTTCGCTCTTGATTCCGCGCTTTGTGTGTATTGCCAGTGTTCATCATGAGACGCAAATTTGCTATTGGCATTTGCATGTAGTTGCGCAATGACCATTTTAGGTGCAGTTTGTCTTGGCTATTCCGAGCCTCGAGATACAGCTTCAGGCCACATTGAGCCAAGGTGGTGGCGGCTAGGAATGGACAGACCACTTTCACTCTGTGAAAAATACTCCTTTTCCCTTCAATAAAGCTGTTTCTCTCTCTTGACTTGGCTCAAATAGCATCAAACGCAGGCGCACCGTGATGTCGCTTCCAATGGGAGAACCTGAAGTAGTTAGTTTAATTTCTGAAAGTTGGCATATGCCCTTTGGCGCAGGTTGAGCGCAGACTCGCTAAATTTTAAGAAAATGTAGCAGAATGTAGCAGTCAGGGCACTTGGGTGCCATTTGGCGCAGCCGTAGCATAACTGCTAAAAAAAAAAAAGAAGTGCAAACAACTTTGAATAATAGCTGAATTTCACATTCAATAGAACGCTTCTGACTTATAAAATATGTTGTTTTAAAATATACTATACTTAGAGCATATAAGCTAGTATAAAAAGCTTTTAAACTTTAGAAATGATGAATCAGTGTAAGGGTAATAGGTTTATTTAACCTTGACGGGGAGGATTGTGGCTGTACACGTTTCCCCTAGATAGATGTTTTCATGGCTTAGCTCCCTTTCACAGCAGTGAAACCACCTCTACAAAGGGTAACATGCAAGCTAATAAGACTTATTCGTTCACTTCAAATAGTTTGAAATTTTCAACAACTTAAATTAAAGTTGAGGAAAATTCAAATATCCAAAAAACACTCGAATATTTGCATAAGCCTAGTTAATATCTAACAGACACACAGTTGCAGCTGTGAAAATCATTCACATGCCGGCATTGTGTCAGGTGGCAAACTCTTGAGAGAAGCTTTCCTCTACTTCAACAAGAGGTTCTTTGCAACTTTTCTGCTAGGGTGAAAGCACATGTACCGCTTCAGTGCAAATTGTTTGGCTGCTCTTTGGTGACTGGATGCATTTTGTGACAGGCTAACCTTTAAAGCAGAAGTAATGTTTTAGTGTATGTACAACCAGCCAGTACTAATAGCAAACATGGCTAATCAGTACACCTGTGTACTTCACTAGAGAGAATGTTTAAGCTTGTGTATAAACAAGAAGTGCTGAGCTAATATCACACAGTGCAGTCTAAACTACTGATACAATAAAAATGCGCATTGTACATCGAACTGTAGAACGGAACTTTGCACTGAAACGCTCCATCATATTGGCTATCACAAAACCATAGGTAGACAAAGACAAAAGATGAGACTCAAGTGAACCTATGGCAATGATAATATCCTCAGTATCACTAAACAGACTTCCTGCATATACTGTACTTACTCGCATAATAGGCCCACTTTTTTTTCTAGAAAATCCGGCTCCAAGTTCGGGGTGCTATCAAGCGAGGTAAAATTCACAAAAATTTATTTTCGACTACAGCATACACCCTCATAATGCAAGCCTTTGAGGTCACGAATATCTGCACTACAGTGAAAACAACCTCCTTCTTAGGCTACAGTAGTGCAAAACTTGTTGAGCATTCAGTCTGGCACGCGTCCAAGAAACAAGGCATGCAATGCCTTGTGCTTACAACCATTCAAATTTACAAAAATTAACATTGAAAGACTTGCATTGCCAACAAAAAGAATGTGGAAAAAAAACTATGGAAAGAAAGCGCCATCAAGGATATTCTCCGATTACCTTTCAGGCCACCCAGATTATGCGCACTATCACGACCAAAATTTTATGTACTGAACAGTGCCAATCGTTTGATTTCAAAACCTCGCACCCCACACCCAAACACCATATGAGTGTTACAAGTGCCACCTGTGCCTCCTTCTCTTTAAGTAGAGCCACCACAAAAAATTATGTTGATTCGATACTAAGCCGCAACTTTTATCGCCCACGACCACCACCGAAAGGCGGCCAATGCAGATTAGGTGTAGACTACGTTTGGCATGTCTCCGGAAGTTTGTACACGACAGCTTGAAGATTAAGTGCCGAAAAGATCGCACTCAAGCACAGATCTAAGAACAGTGTGCATGATACAGTACGATGTTTCAGGGTTCGCGGCCGGGAAATCAACGGTGACAAAAGTCCATTGAGCTTGTGCAAGTCTGCATAGTGATAGCAACAAGTGAAAGCTAGCATCGGAAAGCCGAAAAGCTTTTAAATTTGTGACGAAGTAGCAAATGCGATAATGACAACGTTTTCCCCCACAGGAAACTCAAAGCGCCCTTGATGAGGAGGCGATCACACGATCCATGGGAAGCAAGCGCGGTCATAGTCACGCCGGTGCCAGGGCGAAGATTACTCCGACGACCAGGCAACCACTTATCTCCCTCACTCAGCGAGCCCGCGCAGCAGACGCAACGCCACTGCGATCTCTTTTTTTATTTCATTTTTCTTGGGTCATTCCAAGCCAACTGCCCTAACTTTGGCGCTCGGCCATCTGGAATTTGCTAGAAAAAATTTCAGAACACTCTACCTAAAGCCAAAGTGTTCCCCCTGTACATTTATTTGTGAAAAACATTTTCCAGTACTGCAAGCTTCATGTGAATTTTTTGGAAAGCTCGAAGCCATGGCTCGTAAAACATGTCGAAAAATCCGTTTTGCCTAAATTAGGTCAAGACAAATTTTTACCTTTAGAATATCGGTAGGCTTTTTACTTAAAATAGGTTTTTCGAACTTTTAGCATTTGTGGTTTTTTATGCAGCCTTATATAGGGAGAACATCATTCATATTGGGGATTTTTTTAGGAAGACAACATTCAGCAAAATGTGATAGTTTAGCATATTTCCAAAATGTTTTACTGTAGAACAAAAATAATTTCTAGCGTATATAGTGTGAAATAAAGCGTACAGTTGGCAACAAAGTTGCAGAAATATTCATTTTTGCACATGTTTGGTCATAAATTCAACATTGAGACTGTTTTAGTAAAAATATGCTCAATAGCAGATTTACTAAACACTTTCATTACCCTCAATAGCAGATTTACTAAACACTTTCATTACCTACTCACTCAGAAAGTCTCATCAAATTAATTTCTGCTTCAAGCGAGAAAAATATTTTTGAATTTGTGTGTTACCGCTTTTTGTGTTTGCACATGTTTATATGCCGTAGAAATGCGTCCTAGCGGTAAGTACAAGCTCAACGGACGTAATTGCTACAACAGCAGTGCCTTCTATGCAAATTTTTCTCGAGAAAAACGTCTTTCTATTTTTGCAACAAAGCTATATTAATTTCATATAAGTAAATTTCCGGCTGATCTGCCAAAATACCACAATCACCCAAAGCTGTGGGCGTCAAAAATTATAGCTCACTCTCACTGTTCAGTTTAAGGCCAAATATTTTAAATTAACAAAAGCCTATTGTTAAAAAATCGACCAATACAGTTAATACACCCAGAGCGTGTACAACACTACATATAGCACAATAATCAGGCATACTACAGAGAGGGAGAGAGATAGAAGAAGAGAAGAACACACATATTAAAGCTATCATCATAAACGAACTGAAAGAGAAAGTGGAAAGTACTCACAGTCAGAGCTTCAATATGCTTCTTAAGTGTGGCTATCTGCTGGTCCTTCTTCTCCAGTTCATCCTGGAACTGCAATGTTCTGACCTGCTCTGCTAAGAAAGGCTGAAGAAAGAAAAAAGAAATCGCTTGACATTGACAGTCATGCTCCCTAGCAATTGCTGCTCAATAGTCTGTCGTTGCCACACTTGCTACTCTGCCCTACATGAACACCTATGTCATTCGAAATATCAAATATGTCACAAGCTTGAGAATGGGACTCTTCGGTAAATGTCACTTGGGCTCGCGGCAGACAGACCAGGCTAGTTGGACAGGTGAAAAGTCATGCATTTCTAGTACTGAAGAGATCAATAGACAATGAGGTGCGAAGGACGTTGGCATTTTGACAGTGGATTGCAGATGCAACTATCTAAAGTAACTTAAGCAATAAAAAGAAACAGCTAACGCATCTATCCTTACCTGTTTACTCTTTAGTTCTTCCATCCTTTGTTCTCGTGACAGAATATTTTTGGCATCTTTTACAACCTGCTCAAAGATAGCCTCCTTTGGTGGTGACGATTGTCTCTTCTCATTGTTTCTTGAGTCAGGAACTTCTGCATAAAGAAGTTTTAATTTAAAAGGATATACTTACCCACATATTAAAATCATTATATTTACAACAAACATTACTGCAGAGAGCCATACAGAAGCCAAAACAACCAAGATGATATAGTAAGAAGCAATAACAGCCCAGAAAATTTCGACATCCTAGCTGTAACGACAAGGGCAGTAAGGAAAGCCCTAGATAGAATGAAAGGAGGCAAAGCCGCTGGCGGGGATAAAGTAACAACGAGCCAGCTGAAAGATGGCGGAGAAGTTGTGTTAGAAAAACTGGCCACCTTATATAGGAAGTGTCTCTTGACAGGAAGGGTACCAGAATCTTGGAAGAACGCAAACATCATTTTATTCCATAACAAAGGAGATGTCAAGGAGTTGAAAGATGGCAGGCCGACCAGCTTACTGTCCGTTCTGTAAAAACTATTTGCAAAAATAATAGCTGATAGGATTAAGGGGACATTAGAGTTCAATCAACCAAAGGACCAAGCAGGATTTTGTACAGGACATATACAATAGACCATATTCATGTCATCAATCAGGTAATAGAGAAATGCGTGGAATACAACCAACCCCTATACTTAGCCTTCATAGATTATGAGAGGGCGTTTGACTCAGTCGAGACATCAGCAGTAATGCAGGCATTACGAAATCAGGGCATAACAAACCCTACACAAGCATACTGGAAGAAATCTACAGTGAATCTACATCCCCCATAGTTTTCCATAAAGAAAGCGACAGAATCCCAATAAAAAAAGGGTGTAAGGAAAGGAGACATCTCTTCAATGCTATACAAAGGGTGTTTACAGGAAGTCATCAGGGCCCTAGATTAAGAAGAGTTAGGGATAAGAGTTAATGGAGAGTATCTTAGTAACTATCATTGTGCAGACAATTTTTTGGATTAATTTTTTTTTTATTTTAGATGATGATGGAATCGTACTAAGAGGCCTGGGGTTCGACCTCACCAGTGACCACCACCAGCACTCCCTCACAAGAGAAGGTTGGCTACCCTGGTGCAGTAACTGGCCACTACCTCCCACATGCATAGATCAATTAACCCACGGCCCTCAGTTCCCAGTGGCTGCGAAGCAACTGACCACAGTGGGGGTTTGATCTGCAACGCAGCAGAGGGTGCTAAGAATCTTGTATCCGGACAGGCCGCCATTGGAACCTTAAGTTGTCAACGCTTAACGCTAGAACCAATCCTATAGAGGCAAGTCTAGCTGTACTATTCGAAAAGCTAGAGGCCGTTAAATGGTATGTAATAGGGCTCAGTGAGGGTAGGAGGACAGATGAGGCCAATACAGTGCTATAAAAGAGGCACCTCCTTTGCTATCGTGGCTTGGCTGACAGAAGAGAACTGAGCGTGTGGTTCCTTATCCACATAAATATAACTGGGGACATAGAAAAGTACTATAGCATAATGAAAGGGCGGTAGGTATTGCAATTAAACTCTACAAGAGATACAAGATGAAGATGGTACAATCTTAAATATCTACATCCAGCCATGATGACATATTAATTAAAAGCTTAACTAAAAGCTAAAATTAAAGGACATAGAATAGGTAATGAGTAAGGTAAAAAAACACAGTATACTATATTGATGGGCGACTTCAACACCAAGGTAGAGAAGACACAGGCTGGACACCAGGCAAAAGGAGATTACGGCATCGGTACTAGAAATGCCAAAGGGGAGTTATTGGTAGAATTTGCAGAACGTCATAGATTACGGATGTTGAATACCTTCTACCAAAAACGAGGGAACAGTAAGTGGACATGGAGGAGTTATACTGAGTGCACACTCGAGCATCGTGCAGGATATGGAAGTGCTTGGCTAGGTACGATGCAGTGACCAGGTCTCGAATCTGCCTAGACTTGAAGAAGGAACGAGAGAAACTGATACACAAGAAGCCAATCAATGAGCTAGCACTGAGAGGGAAAGTACAGGATTTCAGTCTCGCTTCAGAACTGATACTCCGCTCTTATAGAGAAAAACGGTCTTAGCGTTGCAGCAATGAATGATAACCCAATGAGTATCATTACAGAGTGTGCAGTGGAAGTTGGAGGTATGGAAGTTAGACAGGACACTGGCAAGTTGTTTCAGGAGATGAGAAACCTCGTTGAGAAACGTCAAAGCATGAACGCTTGAAAAACAACAGACAAAATAGATCTGGCAGAGCTTTCGAAGTTGATTCACACGCGTAAGGTATCAGATGTAAGAAGGTATAATGTAGGGAGAATCAAACATGCCCTAAGGAATGGAGGAAGCGTCAAAGCAGTGAAGAAGAAACTTGGAACAGGCAAAAGCCAGAAGTATGCACCAAGGAACAAGAAAGGCAAAGTAACTACCAATATAGATAGGATGGTTGAAATAGCAGAGGAGTTTTACAAGATCTATACAGTAGCCGGGACAACCACGACCTTAATATAACAACTAGTAGTAACCCAGACGACATCCCCCAGTAATGAAAGGAGAAGTCAAAAAAGCCTTGGAGGGAATGCAAAGAGGCAAAGCTGCTGGTGAGGATCAAGGTAATTGCTAAAAAAATTAAGACAACGCCATAAGTCAATCAGCCACAGGACCAAGCAGAATTTTGAACAAGCTACTCAACAATCGATCACATTCATACTTTAAATCAGGTAATAGGGAAATGTTCAGAATATAGCCAACCTCTATACATAGCCTTCATAGATTACGAGAAGGCTTTGATTCAGTAGAAATATCACCAGTCATGCAGACACTGCGAAATCAGGGAGTCCACAAAGCATATATAAAGGTACTGAAAGAAACCTACAGAAGATCATCAAGTGCCACCGTAGTACTCCATAAAGAAAGCGACCAAATACCAAGCAAAAAGAGTGTATAAGACAAGGGAATACAATTTCTTCAATGCTATTTACCGCGTGCTTGCAGAAGGTTTTCAGAGGTCTAATATGAGAGAAGTTAGGTAAAAGAATTAAGGGAGAGTACCTTAGTAACCTTCGTTTCGCCAATGACATCGCATTGCTGAGTAACTCAGGGGACGAATTGCAACTCACGATTACTGAATTAGACAAGGAGAGCAGAAAGGTAGGTCTTAATATAATGTGCAGGAAGCGAAGGTAATCTACAACAACTTCGGTAGAGAACAGTGTTTTGAGATATGTAATAGTTGTGGTGTACACGTATCCCGAAGGAGTACGGCCACCAGCGTGGGTCCGGTCTTAGCGAGCCGCAGGGCACGCGTTAACCGTCGCCGTGGCGGGAAACACGATACTGCTCAAGTCGCAACACTTTATTGTGGCAACACCAAACGCAGTACAGCCCGTTGCAAAAAAGGCGCGGCGGGAAAGCAAGTAGGCTTATCCACGCCACGGGCACAAAGTACTACACAGGGTGCCACGAGCACGTCTCCGCGGTAAAGGTAATCCACGGAGACACCGGGACAAAGGGCCCGGTTGCTCGAGCGAGGGCAAAGGCGCTCGCGTTGGCTTCGAAGGGAGACGGGTCGGCGTAGCTAGGCCACGCACTAGGACACCGTACTGCCCTTCGGCCGTGAGTACGCAGCGGGGCAACAAAAGGTGAGCGTTCGCATCGGGCGCGAGGCGCCGTCAGCGAAGTCCGACGAGCCCCGAGCGACGGGACTCGACGGACGGAAAAGAATGCGTGGCTCACCGTTTGAAGTCCCGGACTGTACTCACCGCTCCCGACGCAGCGCGCGAAAACCTCTCGGGAGGCTCCCCGCGCGGCGCCACAGTCAACATCCGCTACCGGGTGAGGGAGTTAAACGTCACTCCGCCCTTCCCAGCGCGGCTGACGGCAAAGGAGGGGAGACATGTCGGGACATGAGAATGGCAGAAAGGCGGGAAAGCCCGCGCAAAGGCAGCGGGCCAGCCTCAATTCCCACATAGTTCACTTGAAGTTGTAAAAGACTATGTCTACTTAGGACAGATAATAACCATGAAGCCGAACAACGAGATTGAAGTAACTATAAGAATAATAATGGGGTGGAGCACTTCAGCAAGCACTCTCAAATCATGACTGGCAGATCGCTACTATCCCTCAAGAGGAATGTATGTAACAGCTGTATCTTACCCGTACTTACCTACGGAGCATAAACCTGGAGGCTTTCAAAGAGGGTTCAGCTTAAATTGAGGACGATGCAGCAAGTGATGGAAAAGAAAATGATAGGTATAACCTTAAGAGACAAGAAGAGAGCTGCGTGGGTGAAGGAACAAACCAGGATTAAGGATATTATAGTTGAAATCAAGAAGAAATAGACATGGACTTGGCATGTAGCATGTAGGCAGAATAACTGCTGGTCATTGAGAGTAACTGATTGGAATCCCCAAGAAGGCAGGCGGGCTAGGGAGAGAAAAAGTTAAAAGGGCAGATGAGATTAGGAAGTTCGCGGGTATGAAGTGGCCGCAGCAAGCACAGGACTGAGCTGACGAACAGAACACGGTAGAGGTCTTTGTCCTGCAGTGGATGTAGTCAGGCTGATGATGATGATCTTAGTAACCATTGATTCGCTGACATTGACTTGATGCGTGACTCAGGGGACAAATTACAGCTCGTGGTTACTGAACTGGACATGGAAAGCAAAAGAGTAGGTCTGAAAATTAATATGCACAAAACTAAAATAATGTGCAACAATATCGGCAGAAAACAAAACTTTGCAATAGGTGGAGAGAGGCTGGAGGTTGTAAAGGAATATGTCTACTTTGGACAGGTAGTAACCACGGAGCTGAACCATGTGAGTGAAAAAGCTAGAATAACAAGGATGGAATTGATCATATTCGGCAAGCATTCTCAAATCACAAATGGTAATCTGCTACTAACCCTCAAAAGTAAGGTATATAACAGCTGCATCTTGCCGGTACTTACATATACGGAGCAGAAGCCCATGGAGGCTTACAAAGAGGGCTGAGCTTAAATTGAGGATGATGCAGCGAGCGATGGAAAGAAAAATAATAGGTGTAACCTTAAGGAACAAGAAGAGATCATAGTGTGTCAGGGAACAAACTGGGGTTAAGGATATGATAGATGAAATCAAGAAAGACAAATGGACATGGGCTTGACTCGTAGCACGAAGGCAGGATAACCGCTGGTCATTGGTTGATTGGAGCGTTTGGAGCGAGACATCGCATTTCGTGATACACAATAACTTCACTTCTTGGCCATTTTTATTGCCCCCTGTATGTCTTTCAGTACGCTTGCCTGGACAAACAGAAAAGGAGCACCTATGGCATGCAACAATCCATTTTTGTGCATTTCTGACAATTGTAATACTAATATTCATAATATCTATGGCTTTATATCCCTGAAATAGTGTGACAAGACCATGCTAAATTTTGTTGTGTTATGGTTTATTTATTGTGTTATTTATTTATTTCTGTGTGTTACTTGTTGTGTTATATATTTATTTATGAAAAAAAAAATGCGACAGATTGAGCGGCCTGCGTGCCAAACTGTATTTAGGAGCAGAGGCCCCATGTCAGGCTATATAGCCTTTAGCCTCTGCTTCCGATCCTGTAAAAATTTCAGGACGAAATAAACTTCAATTCAATTTAATTCAATTCAAAACCACAATGTGATTATGAGAGACTCTGCAGTGGACGGCTATGGAAATTTCGACCATGTGGTGTTCTCTAACGTGCACCGACCAAATTTGCCCAGTACACAGGCCTCTACCATTTCGTCTCCTCGAAATGCAACCGCCACAGTGGCAATTGTGAGGCAGTACACTTCTGTATTGAGAAACATGTGATGATTACATCGCACTCTTTGCACTCTTTAACACATGCACTCTCTTTAACAAATTCCCACTGCTGGGCCCAGTTTCTCAACAAATGTTAATAAATACAACTATGAACCTGATGGCTGGAGTTTCCATCTCAAATTTAGAACAAATTAGTTATATATTAGCATCACATTTTAGGTTAAATTACACCACCAACAGTACACCCATCCTCTTACCCTCAATATTTATGGATTCTATGTATTTTTTTTTCTTTTGCAATGACCAAACATGACTGGTATTGCCTCACTGATGTAGATTAGCAGACTGATAGAGGGCACTGTTTTCATTTTTCCTGGCAGGGTTCATATTGCTCGTACCTAATGTCTGGAATAAATCTTTAAAAAAATACAGAAAATGCATTTCTCTACTAAGCATTCAGTATTACCTCTGGGCTTGTATTGAGCAGAGTTTTTTTTCATTGCAACCTAGAAGAAAAATCTTGTGCCACCAACTATGCGACTTTCATAACTAGAACCGTGGCATTATATAAACTGCGCCATCTTTTCATGTCTCTTGTATCAGTGGCAGGGAGAACCTTGTTGGAAAAACAAAGTGAAAGAGAGAAATGTAGAAGAGACAATAAAAAAAGGGGGAAAGGGGCAAAATAATGAGGTGGAGATCGGACAACCCTAGTGAAATAATTTTTGTTCTTTACTGTCTCCCCCCCCCCCCCCCTTATAATGCCCCTTGCATCATGCTTCCTACCACATTATGGTCTCTTTCACAACTTTAATACTTTTAAGGAAAATGGGACGAATCTGTTTCATTTTTTTTTTCTTTTTCAGTAAAAGCTTCCTCCTCAGAGATGCTTTTAAGTCAGTGCCATAATTTTCTGCTGTCATGAGTGAGACATTTAAGAAACCAATAAATATTTCTTAAGCTTGCAAAGCGTAGTGTCTGAGACAAGTTGAGTATAAATTCGTTCAGCTTTGTAGAAATTTTTCAAAGATTGTTGTTCCATTGCATGCATGACAGCTTAAAGGGACATCAAAGTCGAATAAACATTTATGCCAGAGTGAAAGCTCAATGTATGAGAACATCTAAAATGACAATATTATGACAGCAGTGACCTACTTAATGAGAAATTTAGGTAATTGCACAAGAATACATTTACATGCACCGCAGTAGAAAATTCTAAAAATGATCTTGACAACGTCAGATTAGCTGCCTACAATTGCTAGTAATTGATCTAGCTGTACTGAATAAGGAACTTTTTGCGCATCAAGAGATGTAATAAAATGCTGGTTGTTCGTTCCTGTTTGATTCATTAAAAAAAAATAAAAGACCCCCGGACATTACTATGAGGAATGGCACGAGTGGTTCAAAAGTTCAATTTTCGCCTGGTTAAACTGGACAGGTCGTGACGTCTAGCGGGGCTCAGTTAAACCAAACACGCCTACCATTTCAGAAGTCTTGGCAAGAAATTGTTCAATGGCCGTTGTTGCTGCTGTGGGTTCAGCTGCTTTCGCTCTGCTGCTACTAGTGTCAGTAGCCACACAGTAAAGCTAGGCAATGTTGTGCACGGCAACAGTGATGTGAAAGGTTCCAATTGAGGTGGGTAATTTGAAGTGTGCTAATCTGATGCTAACCACTAAATTGCGATTTTATTTCAAAATAAGCACTTCCTTGGCACAAAAGTAGTGCTACGAAGTTTCTGGACCACTATTTCAGCAATAAACATCAACTCAATATTTGCCTTTAGTGTTCTTTTAAGTTCTAGATTGATGGCATTGTTCTACTTTTCTGAATTTCGAAAGTACTAGTAGAATGAAAACTGGAGCAGTAAATCAGCCAATAATCATGCTGAAGCTTACTATAACAATAATAAAGAAGTTTCTTGCTAAGCCCAACTACAAAATGCATTCCCACAAACTTTTTCTGAGTTTTATGGGCCCTATCACATCACAAAACACACTAACAGATTCCCTGAAATATTTGTTTGTGGCACAACTGAGGTGCTTGTCCTTATCTACACCAACAGAAGAAACAGAAAAGAGCTAAAGCGTTTTTTATATGAAGAGGTCAGACAAAGCCAATGGCACATAAAAACTGGCACAGATGCCCATTGTGTTCCACAGATAGAAATGAGTTGCACCGGAGCTTTTTTTTTTTCATTTGTTTTATAAGTTAATGAAGTGCCCCTCTGTACCGCTTACTTTGAACCTTCTCGTGCAAGAAATTCGGCGAAAGAATTGCAGCATGGTGCACTCATGAGGCGATAGGACAGATGACCTACCATTTTCTTTGAAGGCCAGTCGTGGGTCAATAGATACATATATCCCACTTTTTCTCATAAACTAATGGTCATGTTTTAGTGAAAATTGCTTCATGCTATTTTTAAGTTCATGAACCCACGAACAGTTAAAAAGAACACCTACCTCTGATCTCTGCTTCATACCCCAGCTCAACAGACGATGAAGCTCCGGCCAGCTGGTTGAACTCATCTAGAGACATCGTAGTCTTTTTGTCCTTTTTTGTTGTTGTGTTCTTCTTCTTGTTCTTACTGGCATTGCCACGGCTGCCTGGGGTGATCACGCTTGCTATAGTAGCTTCTTTCTGCTGAGCTTCATAGAACTGCAGTTGTGGACAACCAGAAACAACAGAAATATGCTTTACACACGATATAGTATATATATATATATTTTTTCTGAAAACCGCCCAGCCCCCATCCCTTCCCCTTCCCTTTCTTTCTTCCCTCCCCCAACATTTGAAGCATAACTTACATCTTTCTTCTCTTCGTAATCCAACCGACTGAGAAGCAGCGCCTGCTGAAGATCTTGTTCGTAGACGTCAGAGACGAACTGTCGAGGTCAATATTTGAGATATCAATGACTATTAGCAGTTTCCAGATTATCATGTAATGGCAAACAATACCAACACAGGCTACCTTTTGAACGTACAGTACTTAGAAGCATGCGTTTCAGATGTGCTACTGAGCACCAGAAGATTAATGTTCTTAGAGAATGTAGAAAAAGCATCACTGCAACATATCTTTTGAAAGCATCATCTTCAACTTGCCTTGAGGACACATATGCAAAGTTACTGGTATTAAAGGGGTTGTGAACTACTCCTTATGCTTAGCAAAAATGTTATCCTAAGGAAAGCAGACACTGCTGTGAGCAACTATGCCAAATCTTTCAGTCGTGCGCAGGAAAGAGTTTAGAAGTGGAGCGCGAAGTTGCCATTTTTTCAGGCACCCTCCTTTTGTATAGAGGCCTGTGCGCATCTTTTCGAAGCTGCTGTCATCTGCTGTTTGGCCTACCATATTTCACTCTCTTTTCAGAGCTGCTGTTCATCCCGCAACATTCTACATGTGAAGTTCTTGTAATCGGTTTTGTTCAATAGCTCATATGGCACTGACCAGCTTTCTTTGCTAATAGTACTGTGCCCAGTATTACAATTGTGATGAATACATGGCCATTGTGCAATCGTAAAAATAATAATTGACTTCTTGTACAATGCTGTGTATCTCTCGATACACTCCCTGTAATGGCCTGTGAAAAGCTGACAGTATGCCACAGTAGAAAATTCCAGGTTAATTTCAACCACCTCACATTTCCCCTCCATCAAATCATGGCTGCCATGGCCGGTAATCAAACTTGCACCCTCGAGCCTAGCAACACAGCATCTTATGTACCAAGCTACCATGCTTTCAAGCCAAATGTCTTGTTAGAATGTGTGCTCAAAGCCTTGCTTTCGTGCAGGTGTCTGAGGGGGGGAGGGGTAATAACATTGGGCCCTCTGCTTACGGATGCAATGATCAGTAGGACAACTACGCCATGGCCTCTTTAATGAGTGTATGTGCTTTTGGCTACATAGAGAATTTTAGTTTGTCCTCAGACTTCGTACTGGTCAACTTCCTACGATGTAAAATTCCAACTTGTTACCGGAGGTGCATATGTGATTGACACTGATGGCATCAACAACTTGCACCGTTTTGTTTGACTACTTTTGCAAGAATTCTTGGTTCTGCTGACCAAAAAAATGGGGGTTCGATCACGACTGCAATAACCAGACTGCAACGGAGGCGAAATGCGGGGGGCTCATGTACTGTCCCATTATACAGTGCGCATTATAGAGACCGTGAAACAGCTTTGATAATTTTATACGAATACATTGGGCTGGTAGACGAAGTCCTAAGGGTTCCTTACAGACTGATTTAAGCACTTTGTGTAAACTGTGTGATTTATTACAACACTTTAAAGCTGCGAATCTCTGCAGATCACTACAGCTCAGCCAAATGCATTTTTAACTGCCCATTCCCAGTACGACACCTTGTAGCGTGACGTCAGACAGCTGATTTGATTGGCTGGGGAATGCACGAAAGTACGATGGGCTGGTAGGGCGGTGGCACTTGTCAGGCGCAATATTCGCCACTCTGCGATCTTCATCTCTCTTGCCAGACGACATCTGTGCTGCGGCCTCCAACATTGTGTGCAAACTGTCAGCGCGAAATCTTGGAGGCCATGAGACAGCGCTGCAATTGCCAGGGATGGCAGTGTGTCTCATCAGTTGAGGAGGCACGGCAGGGGTGAGAGGGAGGGCATAGATATAATAGTCTTAAGCGGCCTTCATCAAGGCGGGCCGGGCCGCTAAATTTTTTGTACGAACGATTGATGATGCTCTGGCTTAAACGCTGACAAAACTTCAAAAGAATATTTCTGGGTTCCTTTAAAAGGCCAGTAAACATCTATGTGGTACAAAGCTAGTGATGAAGAGACTGGCTGAACATTTGAATTATTTAAACATCCTACCCCCAGAATTGTGCAAACAAGTGCTGTAATAAGGAAGTTACAGAAGATAGGCATACCCTTTTGCAGCAGTTTAGGCTAGTTTTAATTTCTTGCTCAACACCTTGGAGAGAGGTAGGCTTAGCTCATTCTTGCGACAACAGCCACTTCGGCAACATAATCCTAACACAGTGGTTTATGTCATCAGAGCCCAGCCGACAACCAGGAAAGGCTTCTTCCACATGTTGCTCGTGTCTCTTACTCACAAGCGTCACAGTAAGAATGTGTGGTGTGAAGCAGTAAAGAAGTACACCAATACGTGACGTGTGCAATAACTGTGTGATGTGGCCCAAACTGCATTGATGCAGTGAAAAGGTACAGTTTAATAGTGGGGACGTCATAACTAATTTTAAGGCGCTAAAATAAACACAAACACAGGAGAGGACGATTGTTATAGCACGAGGTCAAAACGACGACAAAAGGACAAGAAGAAGACGAGCTTGTCTTCTTCTTGTCCCTTTGTCGTCGTTCTGGTCTCGCGCTATAACAGTCATCACGCCATACCAACTAGCCCAAACCGACACACTTTTAAGTTACAAGGGAGGACACAGGGCAGAGTGATGTGTTCTGTGTCGTTCCTTGTGTTAGGGTCTATTTTCACGCTTAAAATCAGTTATAAGCGTACAGGGTGGAGGGGGGGTCAAATGTTTCCAGGCCACACTATCATAGGAATACGTGGGATAGTGGCCCACAAACTTTTAATCCACCCAGTACATCAACTAGCACATCAAAACGTTCCTTTAAGTGGAAGTCAAACAGACAAGCTAAGTTCTAATTCAGATAAAACAGAGCACCGGCACAGGGCGGTGATATTAGCTAAATGTGATCACTGCAGCCTTTCGCTTGCTTGTTCGGAGAAAGAAAGAAAACTTTATTGAAAAACACAATCTGTCAATCACGTCAAGCATTTCCCATCGCCCCTAGCCATCGGCTGGAATCTCTTGAGACATGGCAGCAGCAAGAATTTGACTGATGATGTCTTGCTGAATGACGGGGTCTGGGCGGCGGTGCACGGCCTCCCTGGATTATATAGTGTGCGAACCATTGTTCCGATTCTGGCATGTCCACAACATGTGAACCAAGTTTGCCACCTTATCACAAAATTTGCACTGGGGCCAGAAAACTTCTGAGTGCCAACTTGCTGGAGAGTATAAAATTTGAGCCCCCCCCCCCCCCCCCCTTTCTGTAAAGCAGGATTCACACGAGGGAAAAATAAATGGGGGATAGAGGCGGAGCCTCGTGACGTCAACAGGTGAGAACAAGTCCCCCCAAATGTCCCTCACTCACACGGATGAGGTGAACAGTGGCGGAGATCAGTGTGACCATATAATTGAGCGGGAGCACTGAAGAATCCTTTGACACCTAGCCATAGATATTGGCAAGCTTTCGTCTTGAGGGAGGGGGGGGGGGAGGAGGGACAATGCCACTTTGTGTTTCGATTAGAAAAGGAGGAAAGCGCTGGTGTTTCTTGAATGAAGTGCTGGTGTGGTTTGAGGGAAGTGCCCGTATTGCACCCCACCCCCCTGCTACTTTGCTGCTTTTAGAAACTTTCTTGTTTATATGTCTTTTTTTTTTGTAGAATGCAGACGCGGCGTTGTCCTTGGTTTGACTCGCCACTGCAAGCTTTTCATTTTTGCTAAAACGAACTTGCCCAAAGTGACATTCAGGGCAACATCATTAACAGCGGCTTTTTTTTTTTTTTTTTTTTTTTCAACTACAAATTGCTCACAGCGTCTCTGACTCGTCAAATACTACTATTGAGTCGGTAGATAAGAATTTCAGTATCTTTCGTTGTCAGTTGGCTTTCTGTGAACGAAGGAATTTTGCCATCACAGCATTTCTCTCATGAGAACAACCGAGAACGAAAGGGATCTAGCCTACAATTATTTAACAGTTATCTGTACAAGTGTTTCATTGTAATTTCGAAACACAAGGTAATAAAAGACCACTTATCTGCCTTCACTACGGGAACTCAGCCTAAGATCCTGCTGCATCAGTGCAGCCGATAAAGTCAAATGTAAAGTATGCCATGTTTCTGAAAATAAAAAGCAGCTCTCGGATTCTACGGCTGCCTACATTTTAAGCCTCTAATCTTGAATAAAGAGGCCTGTTGAAAAATTTCTTTATAAAGTAAAACATCTTCATCAGGCTAAACAAGCACAGCAGTAGCAGCACCAGTAATAACAACAAAAGCAGGCAATGTCAAAATTCTTATCAGAATAACCACTTTCAAACAAAACTAAATATGACTCGATAGGGATGGTAGCGCTCCATCATCTGCTTGACTATCGTCTCCCACACACCACTCTTTAGGTTAGTTTTACTATAGTCATCGGAAGAGATGTCCCACAAGTGACACTATTCTTTCACCAGAGAAAAGAAAAAAAGTTGCTTCATCGTTCATTTTTGCCATCACGGTGCACGCAAGTCCGAAGCGTAATTTGGAACAGCTGCCGCCGCCGCATTCTACAGGCACTGCAGGAGAGAGGGCTACAATGTGGCCAGAGACCCACCTGCAATTCCGCTACATCCCCCACTGCATGGGGATCGTTTGACCGGTCGGAGAAACGATCCCCCAGCCTCCCACCGAGGAGCCACGAGGAGGTCGCATCAACACACTAAGTTGTGACCTCGTCGTCCCGCGATGCACCATCCTCGCCTCTCCTACGGATATTTCTCCCTCGTGTACATCCCGCCGAACTTTCGCCCTCTTTCTTACTGAGGGGTCTGTCTGCTCCTGTGTATACTTACCGATTCATCCTGTGGTGTCCCACGATTTCATGATGTGTGCATATGTGCATATCAGTTCTAAAAGTAGACAGCTTGACGCTCTCCTGGATCCGCAACTTTCTAACAAACCGTCAACAGTTCACAACCCCCAATAATTATGCATCACCACTTACATGTCACCTCCGCTGTACCACAAGTTAGTGTGCTAGGACTGTTGCTGTTTCTCATTTACATCAATGATCTGCCTAATAACATTTCATCCTACATGCATGTATTTGCTGATGGCTGTATATTATATTAACATATTAGAAGCCCCGATAATCATTTGATTTTAGAACATGGCCTTGAAATCGTTCTAAATCAGTGTGAAGCCTGGCTAATGAGACTCAACTCATCTAAATGTAAAATAACATTCTCACGTAAAACTTTAAATCATAACTTCTCGTACTACATAAGTACAACCCTAGCGACTCAGACTTCATTATACAGCTACCTAGGTGCAAATCTTACACCAAGCCTTTCCTTGACCTCTCATATCACAACCATATGCGCTAACGTTTCCAAATCTCTTGGGTACATTCACCGCAGCTTACGTAATTGCCCATCTAACATTCGTAAACTTGCTTTCTTAACATTTACGTTTGCAGCATTAATTTGCATCTCCTTTATGGCCTCCCTATCATAAGTTTATAATTTGCATGTTAGAGGCTATTCGAAATCGAGCTAGTCGATTTATCTCCTGCAATTATAACTGCCAGTCAAGCATAACAAAAACAAAACTCTACCTTACCCTTCAAACTCTAAGTAGTCGACTTGACATAGCCCCCTTCTCCTTGTTCCACAGATATGCTTTTTAAATGAAACCATCAAACTTGCCATTGGTACACGCATCCTGCACGTCACAACGTCTTCACAACGACCTCAGTTATAACAGCATTTATGGGAACACAAACACGTTTATTTCATCAGTCTTGCCATGAGGTTTTCAATTATGGAATTCACTCCCTAACACTGTTACACAGATAGAGACATATTTAGGGAGCTTCTAACTATACAGTTCTCATCATAACAATATTCACATTTATCATTTTTACATTCTATTTTCTAAATGTAATGCGAATTCAATTTTCTTGTTTTTGTTTTTCTTCCTCTTGTGTCAAGCTGCGTGCTCCCATGAAATTGTCTCTCTAGATTTTTTTTTTCATTTTTTTCACCGGATGTTTCTCAGTATTGTTACCATTTTTCTAACTTTAGCACAGTTTGGCAGTCTTCCTTACTATATGCTTTGATGTTCTTGTGTTTTATGTGTGCTTATGCTGTGTGCATTGTTAAGTGTTCTTTTTTTTTTATGTGCCAATGTACCGCTCCTTTTGTAGCAATTCATACTATTTACTCTTTCTTTTTTGAGCATTCTTAGTATTATTTGCCACTTAATCATATTTCTTACATCATGTGAATGCTCCTTATTGAATTGTATTATCCATCCATTCCTGCAACAATTTTTATAGGGTCAGCAGTGTTAATAAATAAACAAACAAATACATTGCATTGCCAGCACGTTATTAATGTATACTCTTTTTGCACTAATGTATTTGCTTTTCTTGGTTGTTTTCTTGTGATGCTCCTTTTACTTAATGCTCCCCATGCCTGTAAGGTACTTTTAAATAAATAAATAAACAAATATCCACACTTCTTTTTCTAAGTTTTTGAACTTGGGAGGTGAAACACAATGAGCCTTCTCGTTCCCTCCAAGTTCCTGGTGCTCAAATGAAAAGAATCTTCTTTATGGGTGCCCCAACCGTGTTTAACATACAGACAGCAGTCTCTGACATCCTCCCTGATTCATAATTTTTCACGACATTTTTGGAGTCGCTGATGACCCCCTTTTGGCTGAGAACCCAGACAGCAGTCTCTGACATCCTCCCTGATTCATAATTTTTCACGACATTTTTGGAGTCGCTGATGACCCCCTTTTGGCTGAGAACCAAGGCTATGGCCCTTTCCTCGGCCTCTACAGCTTGGACACCACTGACTGTGCAACACACCATCAGTTCGCCATCTTGTGTGCCGCTTTGCTTTCAAATTCTGCAGCATCTGTATACACGACGTCCTATTGACCAGTGTACATGGCTTGTAATGCCTCTGCTCTGGCTTTACATTTGCCTTCGTCAGAGGTATCTTAATCCTGTCCCTGACTGGTACGTCTTTTCAGCATACGTGCTTGCACATGAGCTCGTAGCCCAAGCTCTTTAATACTGCTCTCCCCATTTTAGATTTGGGAGGTTTAAGAACTGAGGTGGTTGAAATTTCTGGAGCTTTCCACTTTAACATGCCTTATAATCATACTCTCATTTCGACAAGTGAAAGCCCACGTGTTATTCACTTCTGTTAAAAATAACAAATGTAGTTATGAATGGCAGGCAATGCTGTACAACAGCAGCTAACTAAAGTGTGTATTAATAAGGGTTGCAGAGCAAGCATGAAAGTGCTGGAAGAAAAGTGTACGGAAGGCTAAGAACGGAAGGCAAAGACTTCCTTATAAGCGTAATAAGTGCTGTAACAAGTGCTGAACAAGGAACAAAAACGAAAAATGAAGAGAAGCTAGGTGTAGCGGTTATGTACACAGAAGTGCAGCACGATGAGAGCAATTCTACAGTAAATAGGGACTAGAGGAACATTTTACCTGATCATCTCTCCTTTTCCAAGATTCCCAGTCCCCGCTCTGGTCTTCAGGTTGGCCTGCGTGCGGTGCGGCTGGCCTCGCCTTGGCCTGTTTGAACGACGTCATCAGAGCAGAATTATACCGTTCGATTTATTGTTTCTTTAAGCATCAAAAAATACCTGAACTTTTAAATTCTACGCTGCAGGCAGCCCCAGAAATCAGGCTGGAACTAATGCTATAACCCTTTCAATCTGCGCAAGCACGGCCAGCTGCAACTACTGTTGTAAGAACCAAAGAAGGGACCGCTTTTTGCGTTTAAATTAATGGAATCGCATGATGTAAACCTTGAATGCGAGCGCACAAAATTCGCAAACCAAGATGGCGCGAATTAGAGCAAGTTATATGTACAGCACGTACGTCAACATGGAAAGTCGTTTTGTACCAAATAAACGAAGTACGCGTTAAATGACGCAGCTGGCCATGTACAGTAAAAAGAAATGCTCCTGTCACGCGCAGCGTTCCAAACAACTAAACTAGCATACCTGAGTTTCCGCTGCCTTCTTCTTTTTCTTGGATTTCGGCTTGGCCGTCACGGAGTTGCGATCGCCAGCAGAGCCACTTTTGGCGGGCTGCGGTTTCTTCACGGGTTTAGCATCTTCCGGATCCTCGCCCTCGACTTTCAGAACGGCAAATCGTGAAGGCAGAATAGCGGCCATCTCACCACAATCGGGCTGCAGCTGTGCGTACCGATTTGAATCGCGACAAATTGTAGAAGTAGAAGGCTCAACGACACAAAATGCAGCACGACGCACGTGAGTGAGGAAGTCGCGTAACGCCCACTTAATGCAACAAAACCGCAGGCTCCTTGGGACAGGGTGCACACAACCTCGGCTCCTCCAACGACCGACACACACGTCCACAAAAAACGTAACTTTGTTTTCGTCGTCGGTGTGCCCACACGTGCCACCTGACTGGCCCGACAAACGACAGCAGTTAGCCGAGCAAAAGCGAGCTACAAAGACAAGATTTCTATAGTTTGCAAATGGGCAAAAACCACTCCCGACTATTTCTCCATCCTTCACACGCTTCAAACACACACTCTCGCAGGGCACGTACCACACGCACGTACGAAAACCAGACCACAGCCTCCTAGATTTTACTTGCCTGCCGGATTATTGGTGATCACTTGGAAAACAGCCGTCGTCGGAACTGTAATAGTGGCGCCACTTAAGTAGGGTTGTCTTCAAATAGGTTTTTTATGTTTTTGGAACTTATATGCAACAAAAATAACGTGTAAAAGTTTTTAAAAACGTAAAAGTAAGTATAATTAATTTTAATTAATGCTACGTTAGTGCCGTTGTCATATATGACAGGCGTTTTGCACTAATTAAGCAAGCAACCCTGTTGATACAAAGCATAGCCTTTAAAATTAGCAAATGCTAAAGTTGCCAATCTTAAAGGCCAACTACAAAGACCCTTAATCCTACGTAGGTAGCGTCTTCATAAATGACGGGCGTTTTGTGCTTATGCGGCAGGCAAAAAATATATATATATAGGAGGCTATGATCTGACTGACAAGAAAGACACATCCGAAGACAACCAACAACATCCGGCGTGGTTGTCGATAACGTTCTTATTTACAGTAATACCATCATTCAGCAAAACTAAAGTTTTTAAAGCTTTCATTACCTTTTAAGTAGTTAAGCATACCAGTAATTTGTCTTGTTTTTTGCAGAGTTGTTATCTTACTAGCATTACCGCACAATTCATGCCGCAATTTACAACAAAAAGACTGACTACCTTAGCAACCAGATCTTAGCAACGACGCTACGATGACGCCGTCCACGACGGCTGCCTCGGAGTGTGATTTGTTTTCTGGTAGTTTTTCCGCAATGTTGATAAGACGGCATGGTGCCCCTCGGTTATCTCCTAATTGAGATCGGTACGTCTTCTCTCCGGAGTTTTGCACTCTTTTCCGCTGCGATGGCCACGGCGTCAATAAAGGCGGCTAAATGCGCCATAAGAGCCGAAATGAAGAAACAGCTGAGGGCGATGACAGCAGAGGACAGGCTCCGCCAGTCAAGGATAATACTAGACAAGGTATTTGCATAACGCATATTTTGAATTAAGACACGGCGTACGTTCTCCCAGTTGTATGCCACACGATACTGTTGTCACTTGCAGTTTGTAAACCATCACCGCTACAAGGCAAGTAACCGAATATCAATTTTTGTGAACATGGAGACTGAAGTTTTGACGGAGCCCATAATTCTACATATCCTCAATGACGGCAAGGAGTGCTTCATTCCAAAATACGAGTAAGCCTCGGCGCACTTCTTTTGTCAGCGTTGTTGTGTAGAAAATATCTCTCGGCGATAATTACGAAATAGCTATGGTTTCATTTTCAAAACTACGCAGCGATCAGTCGCGGCAAATGGACATGGTCAAACTTTCATCGCTCGAAGAGCTGGAGAAGCTGCCAATGACGAAGTGGCACATCAAACAGCATACCGATTTCGACCCGCGTGAGGAAGCGCTGTTGACTGGTGAGAAACGTTGCATACAATGCCTCAAGAACTTTTTTTCTTAACTTGATCTCCATAAGTAACATCTGCAGCTTTTCAGCGAATGCGTGGCTTATTAACGTGAGCGTGAACTTTTTATCAATGTTGACTAATGGTTATTTTATGTTTTAAACTCCAAGTGATAACTGCACTGCCCACAGGCCTGAAAGAATACATATAAATTTTGTGAAGATACACAGACGCTGCAGAAACTTTTTGTTCATATAAACAATGAAAAACTATGTAACATAAACGAAGGCAATATTCAGAAAAACTAGCAGAGTCGGAATAAATGCACATTCACCAAAATTAAACCATATTACATGCTACTAGAGCATTGCAAACATTGTGATAATGTGATGGACCAATTTCTTTGCATATGTATATATGGATATGCATATGAATCATCCCATTATGTATATGTACTGAAGGATCTGGAAAAGGTGGTTTATATAATCATACATGCTTATTTCAAAGAGACATCATGCACTCAAACTTTATTTGTTGAACAGTTGTATACCATACCTGGTGCATTACATCTAAATTGTTTATAACTTTTTCACATCGGCCTAAGTGAAGATTCCCACCGTTCTATTCGAGTGGCTATGGTGCTTTGCTGTAAAGCATAAATGTATGGGTTTTATGTTCACAAACGTGAAATGTAAAAGCAGCAGTGTACTTTCAGAGGATCCCAGGTCATGAAAATTAATCTAGGGCCGATATATTGTAGTGGTGCCTTTTCTTTTGCTGGCACCTTTTCGTATTCCTTATGCATGACCGGTGGTCAGAGAAATGGTTATCGATAGGATCGGCCAGACATGAGTAGTGGACGATAGTTAAGGCGGTGACCCGCTGTATTCCTGACCTGCCCAGATGTCTTCTCTACAGAGCCCACATTCTATTTCGTACCTACTGCTGCTAAAGGCGTAAGCTACGAGTGTTGTGATGGTAGTCAGGATCTGTTCGCTGATGTCAGCTTCAGCATTCGTGGTGAATTTTGCCAGTACAGCACTCATATCATGAAATTATTGTACATAAATGCAACATACTTCTGGAATAAAGGTATAGAAAGGGATTTAGGAATTTTATGCATTTGAATGGAAACCCAACGAGGGCACACCATTATATAGGCCACCTACACTATGCAAGTCTATGGCTTCTCACTTCAGTCAACATGTGTGCAATAAATAGTTAACCACACGGAATAGCTTACTTGACCCTCCGTCTAAGTTTGCAGTAACAGGCGCATAGTGCCGGCAGTTCGCCACAGAATGCAGGTGTTCCTACTCCAGCGCCATTCACACGGCCACACTGTTGCAGACAAGCAGGTTATAGGAAGTGCCACTAACACTGAGAAGTTGAGCAAAAGCGGAGACATGCACTCTGACAGGGGCACACTATCTTAGCAGGTCAAGAGTACCGTCAGGTCGTCGCTAACACAAGATCAGGCATATGCTTACTACAAAACACAAGCCCAGGGTCCATCATTATGGCATACCTTGTAAGCACATTGCCAAAATCTTTGGCAAGTAAAATCTAGTAAAATAGTGAAGAGCTGAATTGCACTGAAAGGCTTAGATGAGCCACTTGTCTTTCTCAAAACATTGCATCTTCAATACTTAGTGAAGGTTTGTTCAGTTGTGATGTTGCTTTTATTTTTAATACCACTTCCTTTTTATTTTTAAATACAGGTGGAATTGACCTTCTTGTAGTGCCTGCTGTAGCCTTCACGCTGCAGGGTGCTCGTTTGGGCCATGGAAAAGGATACTATGATGTCTACTACAGTCGGTGCCTCAGAGCACAAGCGAAAATGCCTTACACTATAGGTCTCTGCTTTCGCCAACAACTTGTGCCATCCATACCATTAGACGACCATGACATGATTGTTGATGAGGTTCTCCATGCCTGATTGATACCAGGGCTGTCAGTTCTATGATGTCACATCTATTTTGCTACTGCCACTGTTAATGATATGCAATGGGTAATAAAGTTGGGATTTACAATGTTTTCAAAGATACAGTGTTTCCGTGCTGTCCTTTGCAAAGTACACATAATGGTACATCTCATTTGGTGCAGGCCTCGCTCAGTGGGACATATCCCCATGAGCACATTATCTGTTTTAAAGAAATACTATAGCAAGCATCAACATGATGAGCCAAAAGCTTAATGATATCATGACTGCGGCCAGTATGGTAGCTGTGGAAGTAAAATAAAATGCATAGAGGTATTAGCAATTTTTTGTTGAGAATTAACAATGGAGAGAGAGAGAAAGGACATTTATTTGGTCTGGAAAGAAGAATATAGTGTGTGTACACATCTAATTCCTTACTAGACCCGTGTTGAGACGGAATGTTGAGCCTCTCTGCATTCTCACGGGCCTTCCGAACTGCCAGGATCTGGACGTAGTAGCTGGGTCGTTCATAGCAGCGGTCTACCAGGCTTCTTGACAGCAGTCTGGTGATGCAGGGCATCGCCAGAGAATGTGTTTTTATGAGTTAACTTCTCCGCACTCTGAGCATATTGGGTCTATCTCCACACGTACTATACTCTGGAAGCTCTTTGAGGAGTAAGAATTCATTTGGAGCATTCTGAGCACGGTAGATTGTGCTCTATTTAGTTTATGGTGAGAGGCTGGGAACACTCGTCTAATCCCCCTGTAGTGTGAGGTAATCTCGTGCAAGGTGACGAGCAGATCGCCAAACTCGGCCTGTTTAGAAGGCCCCTTATTGCTGCGACATATGAATCTTCGCTCACGGTTATGAGAGATATCATTGGGGTTCGGGTGGCCTGGTATTAGATCCTGACCCAAATGAGCAGGGAATAAGACGTCAGACTCAGGAGTTTAGCGGACACGCAGCGCCACCTGTCGACGCAGTTTTGAGTAGTGCAAAGCCCGACTCCCTTGCAGAGTTTGCTGCGCAACCAGGTGCAACTACAGCGTACGAAACAACGATTGAGCTAAATATTAAGTGTATTTGCACATTGAACACTCAGAAAAAGAGGTATGAATTTTTCTCCGCTAGTCGGACGCGTCACCGAACACCGTGAAGTGCTTGCTGGTTCACTCGCCTGAACGACGGCGAAAACAAGAGCATACGCAATAGCTCCATCCTCTACAAAAAAAAGGACCCCTGTCTGCGCAGCTGTAGCGTAGAGAATTGCCACGGACGTAGATGACTTCAGTTTTACTTATTTCCGCAGCTTTCGCAATGCAGAATGGCGAGAGCGCTAAATACAGGCCATTGCGAACGTGTTGGGTATATGCGAATACTCGCGTTCGCCATAGCCGTTCGCTTGAGTAAGTGTGATAATGTAGGTCTCCTGTTATTGTTTTGGGTAGCCTTGGCGGACAACCGCGGTAACTTTGATTATGAAGCTTAACAGACCCTCTGTCAACGGTGCGCAACGTGCAACAGTAGACAGGCAACGCTCGGCCGCGATAAAGATCGCACACACACGCTGCGACCACCAATAATATGAAGTTATCGCCACCACACAGCATTACGCACACTAGGGATTTGAAGACTCTAAGTGCCAGCTTTAACTATGAAATGCGAACACGTGCGTCATACTGGTAAATCAAAAAATGATCGCAACACGAACAGTTTTTTTTTTTTTCGTTGGTCTTCGGCATTACCAGGGCTATCTCGGAGGCATTGGTCTTTCGTTGTACACTGAGAAAGTGGACAAGCATGTATCCCCATTTGCAGTATATACACACAGAAGATAGCCGTCAGCAGAGTATTCAGGCATGCCTAATAAAACGCTTCAATGCACAGCCAGCAACTGCAAGCAAGAATGCAACTGCAAAGCGAAAAACACCAGGGCCATTCGCGCCGGATAAAGCGAGCTTCATAACACTGATTGCATATATATATATATACTGTTCGTGTACGCACTTAGCTTAGTGCTTGCCTCGAACTTGATGTCACGGAATGCTCGCTTGCACCTAAATTTCCAGGTGCAGTACGCCAAAATAAATTAAACATATATTTTGCATACAGCCCGCATTCAATTTTGATGAGCTTCCTACTTTCATGAAGCGAGCTTGGATTGAAGGAAGAAGCTTGCCAGGTCCTTGATTTAGATGAAAACGCGCCTCAAGACCAACGAAAGAGGAGGGCCTATGCACATTCACTTGCGGACGAGTCTCGGTGCACTACTCAATTATGTTCGGATGGATGGATGGATGGATGGATATGGCTATACCCTTTAGATCGGGCGGTGGCTAGCGCCACCAAGCCGTAATACTTAATGAATTCAAAACTATATTTTTATTTTTTCCTTAAAAAGTGAGTTTGAGGATTCGTACTTTGCAGTGAAGAGTTTAATTTTCACTCGTGCCTTGACTTTAGCCACCAATCAGATAACCTCCTTCTAGTTAAGTCTACTTGCTTAAAGTCTATTTTGCCCTCAAGGTCCCTAAACCCAAGTGCTTTGAAAAACTCTGCGCCATCATCCTGAACTATAGGGTGAAGCCCTTTACAGAACATTATCAAGTGTTCGGCAGTTTCTTCTTCCTCTCCACACGCACTGCATACTGTGTCTACCCCTTCGTATTTGGCCCGATATGTCTTGGCTCGCAGTACTCCCGTCCTTGCCTCAAACAGTAGAGAACTACCCCTAGTAATATCATAGATCCTTTCCTTGGCAATTTCCTGCTTAAAAGTTCGATAGATTTCTAGTGCGGACTTCTTAATCATGCCCATTTTCCACATGTCAGTCTTCGTTTCCTTCACTTTCTTCTTAACCGATAGTTCTTTTTGGTTTGGCCACCTGCTGTTTTCTAGGTATTTACCAGTCAACTTCCTGGTTCGCTTCCTGCATTTTGTATCGACATTCTTCATGTACAAGTACCTGAAAACCTTCCTAGCCCAACGCTCCTCCTTCATTTCTCTCAATCGCTTCTCAAATTTTATCTTGCTGCTAGCTTCCCTGCCCTCAAATGATGTCCATCCCATATCACCTTGTACTCCCTGATTTGGTGTATTCCCGTGAGCTCCTAAAGCAAGCCTACCTATTCCTTGTTGCTCAATTTCTAATCTTGCTTGAACTTCTGGTCTTATGCACAAGACCGCATTGCCGAACGTCAGCCCAGGAACCATGACCCCTTTCCATATTCCTCTCACAACATCATAGCTATTGTAATTCCACAGTGCCCCATTTTTCATCACTGCTGCATTCCTGTTACCTTTAGTCGTCATGTATATTTCGTGTTCCCTCAGGTACTCGGTCCCATTGCTTATCCATATGCCCAGGTATTTGTATTTATCTGTTATCTCAAGCGTGACCTCCTGTATCCTAAGCTCACTACCTTCGTTGTCATTGAAAATCATGACTGCTGATTTTTCCTTACTGAATCTAAAATCTAACCTATCTCCCTCATTACCGCAGATGTCCATCAATTTCTGTAAATCTTCCTTGTTGTTGGCCATTAGCACTATATCATCTGCGTACATTAATGCTGGTAGTGCCTGATCAATAAGTTTTCCTTGTTTGACTAAAGAGAGGTTGAAGCCCAGCCCACTTCTTTCTAATTTTGCCTCTAATCCTTGTAGGTACATCATGAATAATAAGGGTGACAGGGGGCACCCCTGCCTAAGCCCCCGTTTTACCTCTGCAGGCTTGGATACCTGTTTTTCCCACTTTATAACTACCTTGTTACCTTTATAGATACCCTTTAAAAGATTAGTGGCTACATGTTCCACGCCTAGTGTGTCCAGTATTCCCCACAATTCCTCTTGAACCACGCTATCGTACGCTCCCTTGATATCCAAGAATGCTAGCCACAGGGGCCTGTGTTCCTCTTCTGCTATTTCGATGCACTGCGTCAGTGAGAACAGATTGTCTTCCAACCTCCTGTGTTTCCGAAACCCATTCTGCAGTTCCCCCAGCACCCCCTCATCTTCTATCCATGCCTGCAGTCTTTCCTTTATAATCTGCATCGCCAGCCTGTAGACCACTGATGTCACTGTTATAGGACGGTAGTTGTTTATGTCAGCTTTGTCCCCCTTTCCTTTATAGATCCTGCTCATCCTGCTAAGTTTCCATCCATCGGGAACTTCACCATCGATTATTATTTTGCTCACTGCCTCTCTCAAAGCCTGCTTAGACTTCGGACCTAATGTCTTTATCAGCCTAATTGGAATGCCATCTGGGCCTGTTGATGTACTACTAGGAACCCTTTTCTCAGCCCTTTCCCACTCTCGTTGTGAAAATGGAGCCATTGCACCACTTGATTCATCCTTGTCTATTGTGGTGCATAAAGTACTTCTTTGTTGAAATTTTTCTGTCACCCTTGTTCTTATAAATTCAATAGCTTCGTCCCCTTCTAGCCTGGCACCTTGGGCTGTAGTTATAAAACTCTGCTCTAGGCTCGTCTCATTTCTTAGGGAGTTTAGATGGTTCCAAAATTTCGCAGCTGCCTTTCTATCTTTTTTATGTACTTCTGCCAGCCACTGAGCTCCCTTTCTTCTAATCTTTTCATTGATCAGAAGGGATGCAGCCCTTCTACAGCTTAGAAAGGTTTCCCATTTTCTTTCAACATCATCTGTCGGTTCACCCCGCTGCTTAGCATGTCTGTGTTCCCTAGAGGCTTCCTGACGTTTTGCTATGGCTCTCTTAACTTCCTCATCCCACCAACTTTTGGGTTTGTGTCTTCTTTTCTGGGGTGACTTGTTATGCGTCTTAGCAAGCTCTAGCTCAAAGAGTCTAATTAGATTCGTGCATGTCCACACTGTCTTATCATCCTCCGTGATTACTTTCTCAATTTGTTTAGTGGCTATTTCAATTTGCCTTTCTGAATAAAAATTTTCCTGTAGTTGCTCATCTTGTCTCTTTCCCACTTTAATTGCTCTTCCAAAACTTAGCTTGATACGTTTGTGATCACTACCCAGACTTCTGGAGCCACCTTCATCTATGTGCATTCCCCAGAGCTTATCATACATCCTGTGTGACATCAGTGCATAATCTATCGTCGACTGCAGCCTTCCTACCTCACATGTTATTTGCCCGTCACACTTCTCGGTACTGTTGCAAATGATCAAATCAAGCCTTTCACACATATCCATGATCATTTTGCCTGTCGGGTCGGTATACCCATCTATATCTTCTATGTGCGCATTCATATCTCCTAGTATAATTATCTCGCACTCTCTTCCTAACTCCTGAATGTCCTTTGATATACACTCTACCATTGCCTGGTTTTCCTCTCTGGCCTTTGCTTCCGTCCACAAGTACACGAAACCAAGGAGTGTCATTTGACCTGCCACTTTCCCTTTTAGCCATAAATGTTCCTTGCACTCCTGCTTGACCCTTTGCCAATCTGTACTTTTATGAATGAATGCCCCAATACCACCCCCATTTCTGCTGCCTTCTGTTCTATTACAATATTCCCACGCGTAGTCCGGATTGTTCGGAGGTTGTTCCATGTCGCTGAGATGTGTTTCGGCGTGGCGATGGGAGCGCTGATGGCGGCGTTTTTCGCAGTGCCGCCTGGGCAGAGTCTGACGTCTATCACATGACGTGGTAAAGTTCGTTTTGCAGGGACCTGCCTTAAACCTCTTTTGAGACTAGACCTGACTGTAGAACTCTTACAGCAGCTCGAATCAGTGAAATGGCTGTGCGTTTGGGATCTATTAGTGCCATAGCCACCGCTACCTTTTCAGCTACTTCTGTCATTGAAATGGACGAGAGGAGGTCTTCTTTGTGGTTGGCCACAGCGACGAGGTGAAAGGTTCGGTGCACACCATAGAGTTAATATACATTAATATACAGAGCCGCGAGATCGAGCAGAGTCGCCGCCTGGCGGCAACTAGCCGAAAAGGCAAAGTGTTGATTGCTTCGTGCTGCATCTGCTAGTCACGTCGTGTTTCTATGTGCACGCACGTCATGCATGTTCTCTAATGTGGTTTGTCCGGTCATGTCAGTGCGGTGCTCGGCTGCTAATGCATCGCAATAAGATCGGCGAGTGCAACTTTCCAGAGTCGTCGTACCCTGCATTCACCAGAATTCAGAGTGGGTGCCGCTTTCTGTTTCAAGCACATCGCAAAATGCTCTCGGCATCTTCCCAAACTTGGGGACTATTAGGCGGAATGCAAGCTAACCACGTACAAACAATGCAGCAAAGGCCTGATTTAGTGCGAAAGAGTGAAGAGACTCACCGAGGACGGGCATCCATATGAAACGCAAAATGCGATTTACCACAGAACACCTATATACTACGATTTTCTTTATTCGCTGGTAACGTTAACGTTGCATATAGAGCCGTACAGATATTGTAGCCAACGCATTTTATCCGCCGACAATCGGATCCGCACGCAATGTAGCGCCGCTCACCACAGAACACCTACCAGTTCACACTTTCGCGGGGTGCACACATTATGAGTTCTGTTATTAACTTGTTGCAATAAGTACGTTCTAAAAACACTTATTCGGTGGACAGCACACTCTCTAGAATATCGAAATTGATTCATCCACGCGCGCATAGCTTTAAGCTTGTGCCGCGACCGTTGGATAAAAAACATCCAGTGGCCGTGCTTGTGCACAGCCCCAGTTCACATGATTCGCACTATATTATCGCATGAAATGTTATAATACAGTGCCTAGACACTGTATCCATGATTCGCACAATGTGCACAACGTTCCGCGCAAGCTGATCTCCGTGATCGTTATGAACAAAACGAAGCAGGACCATGACCTCCATCCAAGCATGTGAAAATAACCAAGCCATTGCGAAAGTGAGAGTAGTTTTCTTTTTACTTTTAAGTATTCAATGGAATTGATATTTTGTTTTAGCAGTTCAGCAATACAAAAAAGGTTGCAAAGATGATCATCATCGTTAATACCTTCATAATTGTAAAAAGTTCATCTCTAAAATTATTTTATCTCTTACTAAATATAAATTGTGAATCCAGTATGTATTATTCGCCCTATTATTGGCCGATCCCTGTGAGTATAGTGACCTATATGCCATGGTGGGTGCCAATATTTAAAGGCATCATCATCATCAATGTCTAGCCTGTGGCAAGCCAGTGGCTGTGCCAGTGGTAGCCACTCCGTGGTCTCTTCGGTAACTTGAGCATCTCGGGTGAGTGGCAGCCGAATTTGGAATCCGCACGCATCTGGTGGTTTCAACGGCAACAGAATGTGAGTTTGTTCACTCTGTTTTCATAATACTGTGCTGTCTTACTGAATTTCAGTATTTGTTGCATTGCTGATTGTTTTAATCGTATTTATCCATGGTTAATCATGGGTCTTCGGTTTGATCCGCATTGCTCAGGTTTGCGCATGCCTCCAACTCCAGCGTGGTACGAATTACCACAGAGAGCACTTATATGACTCCCATTCATGACATGTTTGGTGCTCGCTGAATATCCTTAGGTGAACGCACACATCCGCCCGCCATCGACATGAAGCCAAACCCTGCCAATGTTTTACTAATGTAGATCATACGCTCTCGACTGCTGTCCCGAAGGTGACGAAATCGAATCCCGAGTTTCGGTGGAGGCGACATGGCATGGGCCCGTGTATGTAGGTGCACGTTAAACTGCCTTAAGGTTTCGAAATTTTCGGAGCCCTCCCTTACGGCGTCCCTAAGTCATATCGCAGATTTGTGACGTGAAATCCCAACAGTTTACGTGTAACGTGTATAAAGTGGACCATAAGCGAAATGGTTTTTTTTTTTTTTTTTGCAGACATGCTTGAATCTTTTCATCTGTCGATCGTGATTGCCGCGATGAAGAGGTGAGTCCGAACATTAGCTGTATCTGTTGGGCACCTCAATGATGAAAAATCTGAGATCCAACACAGAAGTCATTTGGTGAATGTCAACTTTCTGATAAGGGCTTGCTTGTATGTCAGTAATGGAATTTCTGGTGCTGCTTTGCTGACGCACCTTGTTATTCTTTTTTTTTGCATAGACATCAGTATTGTCATGGCAAACATACCAGACTGTTTGAACATCACGTCACCTGACAGTCGCCGCCGAGCAGATAAACTACGTAAGTGCCAGTGCTCATGTCTTGTGCCAAAAGTACTTGAATGTGATGATCGATAGAGCAATCCAACACCAAAGTGTACTTGAGGAATGTTAAGCTTTCCTAATGCTGCATCTGTTTAAAGCTTAGAATCGTAATGCTTTTGTTTTTATGGAAGTCTGTTCTTGATTTTCAGCATGCGTATGAACAAAACAGAGTGGAGCAATAGCAAATTCATTGCCAAGGAAACACCATGAGGATAACTTGAAAGGAGTGCAGGTATGAAGGCAGTTTACATGCTACACGGGGAGGGCTTGGTGCATTGTAGAGTACAACTGTGTTTGGACGTTCCTGGATCAAGGTTTGCAAGTAGTTGAAGGACTAAGGTTGCCAGCTTCGAAAAGCCAGTCTGGCATTTATTGGGACACTAAAGTGAAGCAGTGAATCTGTTCATATTGATAAATTGTACTCTAAGAGCTCCGATGTTGCTCATTTCACCATCATAGGCTTTTGAATAAATTACATTGTTTCATAGATGTCGTTGTCGTCGCCATCTTGGAGTACCAGCTAGTTGAGATGCTGCGTGAACTTAGCAAGAAACTGACATGAGATTAGTACTGGTGCCCCCCTCGTTCATGAGTGGTCCCCCTAGTTTTGACTGGTGAGAAGAAAGCCAAAAGAGCAGAATGCTGGACTGAGTGACTGGATGTCCTCCCCGCACAGTGTCTCTAATGAGATTAAAAGTCTGGATGGCCACCACATTCAGAAGTACTCATCGCAGAGGACCTGCCTGTGACATCACATGAAAACTATGTGTAGCAGAAAATCAGTGATCGTAGTTTAATTTCTATATTACGTGCCAAAAACACCTGCGATGGTGGTGCAAGTTTTCGAAGTATTTTTCGTATTTTGACAACTCTGGCGCAACAAAATCTCTTGAAGTTTGGTATGTTAAGCCTAAGGCCCCATCAGGAGACACTGCTACTTCATATTTACTTATGAGGAAGCTGCATTGCACCTAGTAGAATCCAACGACGTTACGGTGCTTGATGTGGGAATTAGTCGTTGGCTATGCCCCCAGCATTTTCTTTTTGCATGTCTTCTTGCTAACCAAGGGCCTTCTTGCAAACTGCTGAGTTTTCCGCTGCGGTGGATCAGTAGCTAAGGTGCTCGGCTGCCGACCCAAAGGTCGTGGGTTCGATACCGGCCGCAGCGGTCACATTTTGGTGGAGAAGTGGTAGACTTGTGTACTGTGCAATGTCTGTGCACGTTGAAGAACACCAGATGGTGGTAATTTCTGGAGCCCTTGGCTATGGCGTCTCTCATTATATATTGGTTTTGGGATGTGAAACCGCAGGTATTAATATTAAGCTGGTAAGTTTGGAATGGGCCTTTTTCGGGTAGGAAGTTGCGCATGTGTGTCGTCCTTGATAAGGCACGTTCCATAATTTTCGGTGACCAAAGCGACAGACCCAAGTGACACCGGGTGTCACAAACATGCAAATGTTTGCCCCAAAAAGAAGTGTGAATGCAGGCCTCCAAGATTGCCTATCGGCATGCGGCTGACAATTTCGAAGTCCAAGAGCCACCACTCGTGATTTCGGCGAGCTCCACTTGGGGGTGTTTTTTGGACTAGGAAAAGGCCCATTAAGAGAATTTTTAATATGGGAAAAATCTTTTTTTTTTTCTCTCTAGAGCCCCTGAAACAGTTTTAGTCGTTTTGTATCAACAGATTCAGCTGGTAGTCTCAAGTCCATAAGATCACCTTTGAGTGCACAGAAATGCTCATACTATAGGTTAAAACACTGCCATAATATCTTGCATATACTTGTGCGTGTGCTTTAACACTAGCCACATGAATGTGAGGTGGGCTATCGGCTTGTGAATCATGCGTGAAGTATAGAAACTAATGTGCTCGTAGAATTTCGCCTGCATGGCCTTAGTGCATTACCTGTGAGCCCAGTATAGCGATCCTTGTTGTATCTTGGGATAAGGGAGGCAGTAACTCTTGTTGCCAAAGGTGCAGTTATTTTTGGCATAGAGGTGAACATGTGCGATGCCACTTTCATAGCTGGTGGTTGTATCAGTGTCTGCATACAACTTTGTGCATCATCTTCACAGTTTTGCGAAAAGAGACACTAAAGAGATGGCTTGCTTTTAAGTCATGCATATTCATGTACTGCAAAACATGAGGCAAAGGGACGCATTCTTTCATTTAGTAACAACATGGTGGTTGGTTTTGTTGTACTAGTGTAGGGCTTATACCTGATGCACTCAAAGTAGTGTGTGAATGTGTTGCCTTTTCTTCCCCAGATATGCACGAGTTCGCAATAGTGGAAATCCTTAAGGCTGCTAAGCACTCCTGAGAATACCATCAATCAGCTATTGTGAGTATGCTTGTTGTGTACACAAATTCGTGTATCGGAGTACTGTTAGCCACCACAGCTTGCGTAATTTGTCTGAGAATATTTCCTAGTGATGAGAAATCTGAGATCCAACACAGAAGTCTTTTGGTGAATTTCACTTTTCTGATAAGTGCTTGCGTGGCCGTTAAATATTGTGATTCCTTGGACTGCTTTGTTTAACATGTTTCGTTTTATTTTATCTAGAGCCCTATGCTACCACAATAAATGGATGACTGTGTAACTAAGGGTTGCTGCAAAAGCACCGTAGGCAGAATAAGTTGGGTAAGTGCCAGCACATTTTCTTGTGCTAAAAGTCTTTATTGTGATGATTACTAGAGCAATCCAACACTGAAGCGTTCGTGAGGAAAATTGTTTTACTGATATTGCTTCTCTTGAGGGTGCAGGATGAAAACTAGTTAATGTTTGTTAAATAAAAAATTTTTTCTTTCCAGCATCATACTCTACGCAAGCATGACCATCCTTTCTGTGAAGGTGAGTACAGCATTCTTGGTTAGACTATATTGGAATGGATTGTTCAGACAGGTGATGAAAAATACTGAGATCCAACACTGATACAAAGTGAATTGATCATTTAGCCACTGACTTCATTGCAATACCTAACCTTAGCAAGAAAAGACACTTTTGGGGGATTTGACAACATTTGAATTATTTCAGGGGTTCAATGAAAATAGACTGCCATGGATGTGTGGAAACCTGTTGGTGAGCTCGTTGGCCCGCTTTGTCATCTGGTGAGTTGCCTAAGGACTTGAAGATCGGCAAAGCAGTCTCCGTATTCAGGTCCGGTGACAGGCACTCGCCCTGTGATTATCGACCCATTTTACTGACATGCATATCCTGCAAACTACTTGAACATTACATAGCTTCTCATATCAATGATCACCTTGAATCAAATAACTTCTCTTTCTCTAATCAGCATGGCTTCAGAAGAGGCTGCTCATGTGACACTCAGAATTCACCACTAACCTTCACTTTAATATGAACAGCAACAATCAAACAGATTGCTTCTTTCTCGATTTCGTCAAAGGTTTCAATACTGTCCCTCACTGTTGTTTAGTCTCTTAACTTGTCTTGTCCTTGTACCAATTCATTGACACATTCCTGGATACGCAACTTTTTGTCATCCCGTCAGCAATTTATGGTGGTCAACAGCACTTCATCTAACATTTGCAATATCATATCTGGTGCGCTCCAGGGCAGTGTACCGGCTCTATTACTTTTTCTAATATACATTAACAATTTGACCAATAACCTTTCACACCAGACGTGACATTGAAAATGTTAAATGAAGTACTGTTAATGACATGAAATTGCCGACGGGATGACAAAAAGTTGCGTATCCAGAACTGTGTTCATGAATCATCTACTGCAATATTCTATCTACTAACAATCATTCCGCTCTCCAAAATTAGATTAATTTAACCTACAGGTGGTGCGAAGCGTGGAAGATGTCCCTTAATGTCTCTAAATGCAAGTTAATCTCGTTGACTAGAAAGTGTACTAACTCATTCTTTCTCTATACTAGTGATAGTACCGTTGTTTCAGCCACACTATTCTACAAACATCTCCGTGTTCACCTTTCGTCAGACTTATCTTGGACTACGCACATACCAGCTGTCTCTTCGAAAGCCTCCCAGTCTCTCAGCTATCCGCGCAGAACCTTATGCAACGCTCCTAACGTACGTAAGATTACCTAGTCTGTACAGTGAAGCCGTCCAGAATAGGGCAGCAAAATTCATAGCTGGTAACTACGACTATCATTCAAGCATTACCCTAATAAAATAAGACCTTGCGTTCACGTCGCTGGATCAACGCTGCATTATTGCCTTTCATGTTTATTTCATAGGTACATCTACAGTAACAAATGCCAATGTTTGCCGCGTTATGTCCTTCTGCGCACATCTCGACACATTCACAACGCACGTATTTCATGCGCATTCATGGTCATGCACTGGCATTTAAGTTGTCATCATTACTTCGAGCCGTAGCACATTGGAACAGCCTTCCAGATCACATCGTATCCATCTCGAACTGTGAATCTTTTTGTGTTAACCTGATTTCGTTGTTTCTCTCTACTCTATAACCTTGTTGAACCTTGCTGTTTATCATTTGTTTGTATTTTGTTTTTTTTTACCTTGTTCTTTTTTACTTTTTGTCTATTTTTTGCAATTTATATACTGCTGCCCCCCTTCCTCAATGCCCTTTAATGGGCCTATAAGGCACTTTGAATAAATAAATATGTGCTTTCTTTTGTTCTGAAAAAGAAAAACTGGACAGCCTTGTGAAGTTTTTCCTAAATTTCTTTCAGCATTCTTGCTCAGATACATCTCCGAGAACTAAGCAGTGCCATGAAAGTCCAGTACTTCACTGAAGATCCTGTCTTTGCAAAGAATGTGTGTTTGCCTTTGACGCACTCTTCAATAGGCACTCCTGGGTGCCTTGGTGGGTGCTATGCTAGATTTGTAGAATTGAACATAAGACAGATTAGGTCAAAACTGTTCCTCTAGATTCAGCTGCTTTTGTCTTGTTAGTGCAAGCTTCCCGTTTTACTGGTAGACGAGGATGCCATTTCGGCATTCATAGTACAGCAACTTATGCAACTGCACTGTTCTGTGAAGGTCCTCAATGTCACCATAATGCTTGCAGAGTTAACTTGCAAACCGTTCCTATGTGGCGTTGTGTAGTTGGCGGCTATGTGAGCTGCAGCAGTACTATTTGTATTTTCCTCTTGTTTGTGTGGAAGTGCCCTGGTAATTTGTTAGCAGGAAAACAAGTGAATCATCTTGCACTTTTTTGGGTCAGTTGGCTTTGGCGATTTGAAAATGTTTTTTGCTCGTTTATTTGCACTTGGTTTTTGCTTTTATCTAAGCTTTGTCTGCATGCTTTTTGCCGTTAGTGGTAACGAAGCAAGAATGTTCAAATCAGGAAACTCTTTATCAGTGGCGACAACCACTAGTACTAGGGGTAAAAAACAATGTAAAAAATGTATGCACTGACAAAGGCACATGCAGAGTGCGAAGTTTAATTCTAGTTTCAGCAACTATGGAAAGAACTACAGCCGAGCCATGCGTGACCTATTGTGTTTGCTGCCAGCATGACGAGTTTTAATTTTCCAACCCTAATAAAAAGTTCTTGCTCTGTGCTGTTGATCAGTAGTCATATTTTGTTTACGAGCTTCCTCAAAGCTTTTCTAAATTGTAATACTGTTTGTGGCTTTAAGCTTGATTTTACTGTCTAATAATGAAACTATAGTCGGTTACAACCCAAGAATAACTGTACGCTCTGCCAACAGCGGTCACTGTCCCACCCAGTCAGAATTTGTATAAATACCCAACTGAGTGGCAATTGGTTATTTACATGACATCAGGCAGATTTCACCACTTCAGGTATATGACTTGCCTGTACAAGCACGTCTTCAGTTGAAAAGCTTTACTTCTTGGCAAATTGTATAGAAAATTTGGACTTAAGTGCTCTGCCAAATGTAACGTTTTAACAAGGAAGGGCAAACTTTTAATTAATAATATGCATAGCACTTGCATTACAAGCAATAAAGTTTATGGTTACAAAGGAAATCGCCAATGATTGCTCTGTTGCACAGATGAATGATAGGCGTGCGAAGTGTGCTTTTCGTTTTTTGTTTGCTAGAATCTTTTAGGGTGGAGGGCTTGTGATGTGACTGTGCGTAAAATTGGCATAGTTTAAGCTTGCTGCTCTGTGTTACGGTTGTTGCAGATACATACACTGCACTTGCATAAATTGTACTTTCAGTGCTGCTTGTGGAGTGAATAGTGAGGCTATGCTTATGAATGCCATGTGCCAGAAGATCTTTTCATGACACAATCGCAGAAGTTTCTTAGATAATCTGCTTTAACTAAACGTTGTTTACTCCAACTTACTTGGTGATATGGTGCATAATTCTTTTATGGTATACAAGCAAGAAACTGCGAGCTTTACTTGAGTTCTAATGAAAGGCAATCAATGATCAGTATGCAACAAACAAGGAAGTGTTATGTTTGAACATTAAGGTTGTAGGTATTCAAGAATACAACTGTAGAAGTAACTTGATGGCTAGCAACAAAAAATTCTGACACCAGAAATTTGCATTTTGTTATTTTTGGAATATTAAAAGCTAATGACCCACATAATATGAAAATGTTGTTTGCTGGAGTACTTTATTAGTAAATGTTTGGTGGCATGTATATAGTGCGGAGTTGTAGTTTGTTTTTATGGGGTTTCAAAAGAGGCAGGACAGAGTGTTGGTATTGTAAGTACATCTGGCCTGATGACCGCACAAAACAGCGATGTACAGCACTCATGGCAAGGCTTGCTGTGGTCGCCACTGCAACTTCAGCAGACAGCACATGCAAGAAGCTAGGCTGTCGACACATAGTTGTGGCGTATGTGGTTGTCGATTTTAACACCTATAGCACACAGAAAGAACACAGAATTACTTAGATAGCACTAGCTTTAACAAATGCATTATGAATCGGTACAAGTAAAATATTAGTACTGGTAAGCAATGTATGCAGGCACATATGTACAAGATCAGACTTGCAACATCCATGGCACACATGGAAGACTTGCAAACGTTTGTGTCCTTTCTGTGTGCTGTGGATGTTGAGATGGAATACCAACCAACATACCCAAGCTCATGTTCTTTCAAGCTTGTTTTGCATTCAGTTGTGCAACATACGCTTCAGAAATTGATTATAAATATGTCTTAGGCTATATTTTTCATTAATATTTTGTAGATTACGTATGCGTGTTCAGAGAAGTTTATCAAGTTATCTTGCCTTCAAAATTTTGGCCCTGCTCATTAAAAGCATTCTCAAACATCTTTTGTTACCACTACGCTTAAAGGTCACACATATGTCGTGATGAGCTGTACTAACTGGCCCTATTTTGTTTTTGAACGTATTGAAATGCTAAGCATGATCAACAGTTACCAACACACTTGCAAAATATCGTCTGCAAATGAATGAGTCAGCTAACTGGAAAGATGGTATGCCTTGAGGATAGCCTGAACGCTACACTCAGTATTGCAATTTTGATTTGCAGCCTGGCGGTTCTCGAAGGTGCATCGGGCTCAATTTATACAAGCATTTCGGAGGCTGACTGACGAGGAGTGCGTGGAGGTGTTTCCTAGTCATCGGGAGAGGTGGCGTGTCCGGACTGTGGTTGGGGCCTTGGAGGCTTATCCAACGCAGACCATCCGTGGCATGGCTAGGCTCATTGGCATGTCTAAGACCCGTGTATATGAGACACTGAGAGACGCTTTTTCCAAGCTGGAAAATTATTGTCTTAATTGAGGGGTTGCTATTGTTGCCAAAAATGTAAATAAAAGATGCAGAGTAACCACATCGCGTCAGTTCTGATTACAGTTGAAACGGGAAAAAAAAACCAAAAAAAAAAACTGCCGTTTCGGGTCCCACAGGTACCCTTTTTCAGGGGGCAACTCGGGGGAGGGTTGGTTGTGGCGCCTGACAGCTAACCAAAAGGTTGCGGCATCAAAACCCGGCTGCATTTTCGGTGGAGGCGAAAATGCCCGAGGCCCGCGTGCCTAGATTTAGATGCATCCGTCTTAGTTTTTTTTCTTTTCTCCAAATTTATCAAGCGAATGTAGTGGCATTTTCAGCATGCTTCTATTTAAAAACGCTTTACAGGCCTCCTCTGAGGCATAGTGTAAGGGGGGGGGTGTTGTTGTACAAAAGGTGCAATTTCGGTATCGTTCACGAAATATAAATACGTAAACAGCGTGCATGAACCAAATGACGAAGCGTGTGTAATAAGTATTTGTGGCAGTACTGCTGAAAAAAAAAACACTAGCAAAGATAAAACATCTTTAGAGTGCTGATTGCACTGTTCGAAAAACTGTCGCGTTATGCATACCAATTCTGTGCAGCAACAACACAGGCAGAAGGGCTCGTCAGGTGTTCTGTGGGCTCGTGGAATTCTGATCATGCATAAAATTCTAATTTTATGCATAAAAGTTGATGGTTGATGTGTGGGGTTTAACGTCCCGAAACCACCATATGATTATGAGAGACGCCGTAGTGGAGGACTCCGGAAATTCTTTAACGTGCACCGAAATCTGAGCACACGGGCCTATAGCATTTCCGCCTCCATCGGAAATGCAGCCGTCGCAGCCGGAATTCGATCCCGCGACCGGTGGGTCAGCAGCCGAGTACCTTAGCCACTAGACCACCGCGGTGGGGAAGAAGTTATAATAGTAACGGGGTAGCGAAGTTAGGTGCAAGTCTGGAAGTACAATGAAGCTGTGTGAAGTGGTGGTAGTAGAAAACATCTTGTTACAGAAAATGTATCGGAGAGTTGCGGCATATTGCATGCTTGAGTGGCAAGGCCCTATTCCGGGACGCCAATCGAGTTGGCCGCTGCCCGAGTGCCTCACCAAGGAGCGTTGAGCTTCCAACGTAAAGCAGCCGAGCATGTACTCCTCCCAAGCCTCTCTAGTTGGGATGTGGAAGGGGGTGAAAAAGGAAGGGTAGGGCACGAAGCGACAGACGTGGTAGGTGTTGGCGATGACCTGGCAGGTCGAGCAGGTGCCACTGATTTCCGGCAAAAAATGCCTGGCTACCGCCGAACTTAGATAGGTGTTCATATGGAGGCGGCGAAGTATTCGCTCGTCCGCTTTCTTCAGACCACGTACGGGGTGGGTAGAAGTGGCGCGAAACCCGGTATTAGGCAACAATTTCGCGGAAGCGCGTCAGGTTCGTATTGCCAGATTCCTACTAGGGACATGGAGGGGAAACGGCCCGGACAGGAGAAGCGCTGGCAGCTGCGTTCGCCGCCTTGTTGCCGGGCTGGCCCGAGTGGCCTGGGGTCCATACTGTACGAATGGGGTGAGGGTTAAAGCCCCAAGAGGCTGTCCAAAGTAGTTGAGCTGCCAGTGGGGTGATGGAACCCTGAAGGTATCGGGAACAGGCCGAACGTGAGTCCGTCTGCATGGTGCGTCAGGTGGGATGCGAGGCGGCCAAAGCAATGACAACCTCCTCGGCTTGCGTCACAGTGTTGGCTCCAAAGGAGAGGCCACCGGCGTGTTTTCGCTATGTGATCACGGTGGCCGTGAAGTGACCCGAGGGGTAAGGGTCCGAGACGACCACGTAGAAAACGCCAGGGCGATCGGAGTGTCGCGCCTGATGGGCCGCGGAACATGCTGGTCTACGGCCGGGGTGTAGCTCTGTGAAGACGGGCTGTAATAAACTAGCCGCAAACATGGGACACGCCTTATATTTTACTATTTAAATTTGTTTTGAGTATAAATATCCGTATGTAACTCGGTTTCGTGACACATTGTGAGAGTGTGCATTCCACCGACAAGATGGGACTCGATCACTGGAACGATATTGAATTAAAGGAATGCTACATTTTCGTAGCACCGCTGTCTTCCACCTTGTCATCGCTTTCGTAACGTGATTTGTGGTATGGGTGCCAATGAACATTTGTCGTCCGTGGGCCTCATGTGAAGCGCATGCGGCAAGCCAGACTGACACATGCTGGAGAACGTACGTTAAAGGAGCATACGCTACTTTTAAATGCGAAGCATTCTTTAGCGAACTTCGGCGATTTTTGTGCGTATATATCTATCCAGCCGCTTACGTTTGGATGCTCTCGTGGTAATCCCCTTAACTTGGCGTGAACTAAAATTAGCATGGGAGGGAAAGATGGCTTGACGAATATGACGTGCTGGTCAGGACATAAATACTGTCACAATCCCGTCGTGCACATAGTCAAACACTTCCCGCCAGACAGTGGCATATACCCATGGGCGGGTATGTGCCGCTCGTATGCGGGTATGTGCCACAGGTGACTGACACTTAGTATATATTGTATAGAACGGCGAGAACACACATGGGCAGTTTTAACGCGCGAGCGGTAAGAAATACCCAACATCGGTAGCGTCAACCTGATGAATGCAAAGAATAAATGTGAGGGTCCCAGCTGGAATCGAACCCAAGCAATCTGCGTGGCAATGAAGCATTTTACTACAAAGCTACACCAGGTCTCGAAACTGCTTTCGAGCTAGACGCCAATCATCGTGAAACGTCAATAGTGGTTGCAGTGCTGCCTACTCAATTTTACAAACATTACATATGAACTCCTTTGATACAGCCGTCACGTCGGGTTAACGTCCATTGTGATTAGGTGCCATGCGCTGAAGTTTATTAATGTAGCACTGTCCAGGCCTCGCATCCTCGCGAGCATCAGCGTTTCATATCAGCTTCTGGTGTTGCTAATGCGCATGTTCCAGTTGGCACCTTTGCGCAAGTGCAGCCAACTGGTTATATAAGCATGTGCAACCCTTCAACATATGTGCGTGCGTGCTACATATGTACATATATTTAGCGTCATTTAATGACGTGTCGCTCAATAAAAAAACTGCAACACTGTCACCTTCCTTGCGCATGCTTCGCATAACGTCGATTCCCAGGTACGTGGGATCTGCCAAATTGTGTGTACAGGTAACTAGGATTTGGGCACGAGATGTAGGAACTCTTGCAGAGAGCAATGGCTTCCCAATGTTATTTTACGTTGTAACTGACCACATAAACTAAAACGATGATGGATAACCAGCGGTACTTATACCACTGTCACACGGCAAATCAAATGTTATTTTTAACGAGTGACATTAAGCAGACCTAATGTTCTTTTACCTGCGTGCTGTCGCACGACGAAAACAATGAACAAATATCATTGTGAAATGATGACCGTGAGCTTAGCCCTCTTGAGCCATGGAGTTTGGGAGAAATAAAAATGACTAATGTTTGCATGCAACAAGCGTGTATCCACAATAAAAAAATGACAGCATATCTATGTGGTGAATGATGGAGAGTGGGGCGAAGCTGGGTCTACACGCCGCTGCCGCGCTGCTTCAGCCTCCCGTTCTCGTACGGCTGGATCTTGTCCGCGCCGCCGTGAAACTTCACGACACGCTTCTGTTTCGTGCGCTCGCACATCAGGGTTCCGTCTTCGAGCACGAGCCGCCGCCCCCTTGCACGCACGCCGCCCTGCAGTCTTATCCATCCGCCCACATTCTGAACGCGCGCGCGCGTGCCATGACGGCTTTATTTTGCTATACCACGCCCCCAAGCGTATGGCGCCGCCGACGAACACGCGATCGCCAACGTCTTCGTGTAATATCATTCCTATTTTCTCGTGCGCTCGAACATCGAGCGCGGCGCCGCCGCCTTGCGCGTATCATACTTTTTATCGGCAAACCGTGAATCATCAGCTGGCCGCGTCCGTCCGTCGTCTGTCTGTTTGACGCACGGACGGACGAACGAATGGGCGCACGAGAGGACGGACAGATGCATAGATAGGTGCACGAATGGACGGACGTACGTATGAGTGGATGGACGCACGGACGCACAGATGGACGCACGGAATGACGGGCGCATGAACGGATACACGAATGGACGGACGGAAGCGCGGACGAACTGATGGACGCTTCGCCCCACTCCTCATCATTCACTCCATGAATATGCTGTGATTTTTTATTTATCATACTACGAGTAACGTTCTGTAGTATCGTACCATTTCAATTTTTCAGCGTATATACATTTTGTTTATGTACAAGTACCGCCCTCTACGGCTGGTTCAAGAACTAACGAGAGGTGGCTACATATACGTTTACGACGTTTACGCCTTAAAGGAGCCCATGGCACGTCACCCAACAATTTGCAGTTTTCGGCCGAAAACGAAGGTAGAGAGCCGAGTATGCTTGCACACGTGTGAAAACTGGACTGTGAGAGATTATTAATGCGAATCATTTCCTAGCGAACTTCGGCGACTTTGAGCGTATCTATCTATTTAACCGCTTACGTTTGGATGCTCTCGTGGTCATCCCCTTAACTTGGCGTGAACCAAAATTAGCATGGGAGAAAAAGATGGTTTGACGAAAATGACGTGCTGGTCAGGGCATGAATAATGTCACAATCCCGTCGCGTACGTCGTCAAACGCTTCCCGCCAGATAGTGGCACATACCCATGGGCGGGCATGTGTCGCCCGTATGCGGGTATGTGCCGCCGCAGGTGACTGACACTTAATATATACCCTAGAACGACGAGAGCACACATGGACAGTTTTAACGCGCGAGCGTTAAGAAATACCCCACATCGGTAGCGTCTACCCGATGAATGCAAATAATAAATGTGAGGGTCCCAGCTGGAATCGAACCCAAGCAATCTGCGTGGTAATGAAACATTTTACCACTAAGTTACGCCAGGTCTCGAAACTGCTTTCGAGTTAGATGCTAACCATCGTGAAACGTCAATAGTGGTTGCAGTGCTGCCTACCGAATTTTATGAACATCACATATGAACTTTTTCGATACAGCCGTCATGTCGGGTTAACGTCAATTTTGGTTGGTTGCCATGCGCTGAAGTTTGATTGATATATATGTGGGGTTTAACGTCTCAAAACCACCATATGATCAATGCGGTGAAGTTTATTTATGTATCAGTGTCCTGGGCCAGCATCCTCGCGAGCGTCAGAGCTTCTTATCAGCTTCTGGTGTTGCTAATACGCATGTTCCAGTTCGCATCATCGTGCAAGTGCACACAACTGGTTATATAAGCATCTGCAACTCTTCAACGTATGTCTGTGCGTGCAACATTTGTATATATTTAGCGTCATTTCATGACGTGCACGTCGCTCAATAAAAACATTGCAACATGGTCACGTTCCCTCCGTATGCTTCGCATAACGTCGATTCCCAGGTACGTGGGATCTGCCGAATGTTTTCAGTCCAAAATAAGCCGTAGAAGTATTCGGCCGTGAATTCCACCTACCGCCGGCGACCGCCATTTCGCTGTGGCGTGCGTGACGTCACAAACCGATGGGAGCAGTGCCGTCGTATGCTACCACGGCACGCGGCTAGTAGGGAGTTTTAGAATAGCGCACCGCGAGCCCTTGCGGTGCGGTCACTGCCACTGCGCATGCGTCGTAACGCGAGTCGGCGTTCTCTGACCGCACGCAAAAAATCCAAAATTGCGTGCGGTAATGGCGGCCCGCATGTGACCCGCAAACGCTGGTTTCGAGGCTACGGTGTCGCTGCGATCGTGCGTTACGGTTAGCAGCAGGGAAAACGCTATTCTAAAACTTATATGGCGCCCGCAACACCCGCAGCGCTTGCAAACGGTATTCTAAAGCTCCCTATTATGTTCACTGTGTTGCAAGTGTTGCTTGCCTCGTGGTCCACAAGTGTTGCGAAGTAGTACCGGCGCCATCGCCATATCGTCGGCACCGTCATCAGCTCACGATTCAGGCAACAATTCATCGAGCAGAAGAAACGGCGACAACGTCGCGTACGCTGCGCATTTCGACTTCGACCCCATGGCCACCAACTCAAGCGATGACGAAAGCGTCGAAGATGGGGTGAACGCAAATGCCAACGCTATTGCGACAAATGCACTTGCCTCTTTCTTTTGACGCTTTTCAAAAGCACCCTGACGCTTAGCTTGAAGGACGGAATGGTATGAAACACGGTCGGCACAGCGTCCGGCCGAAGCCTCGGCTTTTTCACTGATATACGGAACTCGCCGAGAAGACGCTGGTCATAATTTTAGCTGTCTGCCGCGAAGTGCGCTGAGCACAAAACAGGTGCGTCACTTGCGCACCAGTTCTTCCTGCACACGTTTATCTCCCAAGCCTAACGTTTGGCGGTCTCTTTGGAGAACTTGAAGAATGACGCAGTATTCCCCTGTTTTGTACGCTCTGGCACCTCACAGTGCACAACATGGGCGACGCGGTGACATTGCTTCTAACGCTGCAAATCATTCGGTTCCAGGGATACGTTGAATAACGCTGAAACAACTCGATTGCAAGCGCACCTGACCATGAAACACGATCGCCCTCCGTACAGCACAGCAGCTCGCGGAGCAAACGGTTCGTTACGTCACGGCTAAAGAGCGCTCTAGTGTTGTCCGACCTTAGTCCGACCACTAGGCGGCTCGCTCGTTTATAAAAATATTCGATTATAAAGTAACGGCACTACCAAATGTGCTGAAATTTCTCCAGCTTGTTTGTGAACCCAAAATGACCAGCCCACCTAACACAGATTGTGGTCGAAAATTGGGTGTCATGACCCCTTTAAAGGTACTTCACTGGAAAAGCGTATTGCGTCAAAAATTCAACGCCGCAAAAATGTCGTTTCAAGAATCCTCCAATCGAGCCGCAGGTCCAGGGAGGAGGGTGCAGGCGTTCGGCATGCGTCTAGACAATGTCTAGACTGAACGTCGCTGGTTCTGCGACGACCATGGGTTGGTTACCTGCTGGCATGTTTTGGTCACATCTGTTCACCCATTCACACTGTGAATTCGACGGTGTTCAGTGGATACGTTGGGCAATGTAAGAACGAACATAGAAACGATTTGCTAGTTCAACAAGTATGCAACACGCGTTCAGAGTTTGATGTACCTGGTATGAAACACTGTGGCATTACAAAGCAGTGACAATTTGCACTTTTTCTTTCTTTAGTAGCCTACCTCGGCGAACGCTTAGTTTTCATTAGAAAGACGCCGTTATGCTACACGTGCGACTTTTTGGTTTGAATGCAGTCGAGAGTACAGTAAAGGAACACGACACTGATATAGCCACTGTGCTACCAAAACAGTCAAAATTCAGATGACGAAAAAGGACACGATCACAACGCAGGCACTTTCACTGTAAAAGACGTGGGGAGTGATCGTAGGTTGGCTAATCGAAGCCTTTTACAATATTCCACCAAAATTACCTCACGTGCCTCATTTCAATGACATGACTAGGACACCTAGTTATCTAGAGCGTAACTACGCTTCGGTTTACCACCTCATAAATATCCGTACGTAATATAAAAGCAAAATTATGAGTCAGGTTAGGAGAACATACGATTCAACGACGATAATTAGTCCAGTTTTCCTCCATACAAGTCTCCAGAGGAAATGAGGAATACTAGAATGCCTCTATATTTCTCAAATCGAGGTATTTAGCACTGAGACAGAATGGACCATATTAAAAAAAATAATACTGCCAGAGAAGAATGGATACCTCCGTACAATTACCTATCAGAAAAATGCAGCAGTTGCCATGCTTTTCTTCGCAAATTGGACCAAAATAAGTGCACTAACAGAAAAAAAATACTTTCCTTCAGTTCAACCAGAAGATCCTGGCGGTGATTCTTGCTCGTAGGCGAAAACAAACAAAAACATGTGCACGCTAGAATTGATTGAGTGATTCTAGAAAGGAGGGAAGAAGGCACCTAATTTCTGTCTGCCTCTTCCCGTGCGCTCTGCTGTATGCCGTGCGCTCTGCTGTATGCCGTGGTTGCTGTATGCCGTGGCACGGAATCCCGTGCGCTCTGCTGTATGCCGTGGTTTCAGCCACCACCGGAACCCTCACTCAATGCGCCTTTTTGCGGTATCGGACACCACCGTGGACAACGCCGGATGCCTGACGTAGCCCAACTAAGCAATGCATTCGCATTAAAAAAAAATCGAGCGCAGTGAAGCTAGCCCTGCTGCCATTAGCCACGAGCAGAGTGTTTAGCGAAATCAACATAGCGCTTCCCGTAGTTGGATTATTTGCCTGACTTGGTGCGACGCAGTCAATGGCTTTGCATGAACACTGTGGGATACGCTTGAAACGCGACTCATGCTCGCGATGGCGAAGCTGCCACCGCTGGCCACCACGCGTAGGCGTAACCATGGCAAGATCAACGGTATCCATGGTACAATGTATTTAGTACACTCTAACCATGGTAACCTTCAGGTAAAGGCGATGGAGGCGCCAGTTAGATTTTCAGTGTAAATAATGCTTCAGCGCGGAGCCCGGTGTGGAAACGCTCCCCAATTCTAGTACACTCTAGTTATAGAATAGTACAGTGAACTAAAGCGAGGTGCACGACTGAATTACCCGCTGCAGAAATGTGACGGCTGCAGCGATTTCGTGTAGTCAACCCGTTGGTCACCACAACACGTGCAATTGGACGATCAGCGTTCACGATACAGGCAACAACGACAACAGAGCAAAAATAAAACATGGCCGCCGGCGCCCAGCCGCTATAGTCACAGAATGTAGTTGAGACGGTAGCTTTTATTTGAAAGAAAATTTTGCGTGTTCAATAATGTCGCAAAAGCAGTAATTAATTGATCTAATAAATAACTAGGTACTTACAAATGTTAAAAGTAAATGACATAAATCAACAGTCATCTCCCTAAATATTCCTGGCGTCGAGACTGATTCGGTCCGCAATCGAATGCGAATGGGTTTCGGGAACTCATGCGACAGAAAATGTAAGTTTCGATTAGTTTCGCCCATGTGACAGCAAACAAATGGCATTACAAACGAATGACATTCGCTGTAGATGTCATTATATTTGCCGTGTGACCTTGGTTTTAGTGTTGATTGATTAGTGGGGTTTAACGTCCCGAAACCACCATATGATTATGAGAGACGCCGTAGTAGAGGGCTCTGGAAATTTCGACCACCTGGGGTTCTTTAACGCGCACCCAAATCTGAGCATTTCTGCCTCCATCGGAAATTCAGCCTCCGGGATTCGAACCCGCGACCTGCAGGTCAGCAGCCGAGTACCTTAGCCACTAGACCACCGCGGCAGGGCTCGGTATTAGTGTTACCAACCGTGCCGAATTCGGTGCGTCCATCCAAACTTTTCATATAGCGTTCCGAGTCCCACGCCGTCCCTGTCTATCGGGACCAGCTCTATGTCCAGATAGAAATTTTCATGCGGTCCAACACACACACCAACAGCGCGCGTCATGCTACGAAACACGAAATTCGCGCGAATCGCACGCCCGAAAGAATGTTGTGAGGGCTCAGAAACTTCAGCTGAACTTTCTCGCGAGGCGCGTCAACTTTGTCCACTTTTACGAGTAGATTCTCCTGCAAAAAGAAGTGTCACGAGGAGAGCGTAGTCAGCTGAAGTACACCCTTTCAAGAGGCCACGACAGGTAAGAGAACAATAGATGTTTCTGAAAGATACCAGATTGATTTTGCTGGCTCCCTACGTAAGTGTATGCCCTCCGTCCTGAATTCTTTCATTGAAAAGTTGGTAACCCTACAGCTGTACCTAAAAATCAAATGGCTCGCATAACATTCATTTCCACATTGCGCGAAATACCTTTGTTTTACTGCAGCACTTTCACACGGACACGTAGAGGTAGTTTTTGTCAGTTTTTTTTTTACTCAATGACAGAGGCCAGAGTGAAAAGGATGTTTCGAGAAAATCAGATCATTATAACGTAGCTCAAGATGGCATGCCTTTGATGACATTCAAATGTGCGCCTTGCTTGCAGAAAAAGAGCTTGCGCCGTCTTTCTTGTCAGCAACGCGTGTCACGAGGTGAAAGGTTGTGATGTCATGACGCTCCCTCGCGTATACAGTAACAAAGCGTGCGTATTTGGGCTGGCCTCTTGTGCGCAATCGTAACACGAGATGCGTTGATGTGAAGGATGCCAGGGGGCACACACGGTAAGTCACGACCGTTACAAGGGGATATGATTGCGGAAATGGGATGATGTGCGTGTTCGTCGGTGCATACACGTGAAAATAAACAGCTGGCGAAGGGAAGGTCCGATGAAGTAGAAAAAAAGCTTGACGATACGCAAATTCTACTAAAAACATGACTCAGTAATTTACATACTCTCGTCCATTCTTTGAATTTATGGCCTAAAAGTTAGATGCGGTTGGTCCTAAAAGAGAAAAAAAATCGTGTTCTGTCGGTCTACGGCCTTCTCGAGTTGCATTCCTCGTATCTCCATGAATGCCGACCATGATGAGAGCGCAGCGGGCGACTTGTATCGTAGTCGATAATATTAGAGCGCCATTGAAAACTTTTCGCGGCCTGGAAAGACTCTGCTTGTATCCGCTGTCATCGCCATGTATTGGAAAGGTCTATGCCAAATGTACTTAGTCCACTGCTGCGCTCAAGACCAAAGCTGTGGCTGGCCCGCTTAGAGGAATTCTTATGCACTTCTGGCACGTGTATGCCCAAAACGAAAAAATATATCACACGTTATCACACGTTAACGTCGCTTTTCGGCCTTGTAGGTGAAGTGGTACTGTCATTGTACTATGACATTACGTGACTCGCGGCCATCCCTACTCGGCGTTGTTACGGCTCATCCTTCTTACCGGTTATGTTCGTCTCGACCTTAACATAAATTCTCGTACGGTTCGCACGCCTTGGCAGAACGAACTTCAACGAAGTCGCTTAACTAAAGCACAAAGGCAACCACTGGATCGGAAAACTAGTGACCGCCTCTATAGCTGTCTCTCCGTCAACACTCGCGGGCTGTTCGACCGAGTTCTAGACGGAAAAAAGAATAACAACGCCTACATGTGGTCGTAGGGTACTGATGAGGAGGAAGCTGCTAAAAAAAAAAAAAAAGACACCCGGACGCGTTGAGTCGGCACGCTCATACTTTCCTGGACGTGGCACAGGTCTCAAGGTGTAGCCTCGAGGCCAGCCACTACTGCCTTCTCCAATGTAACCGCGCTCGCGATGCTCCTCTGCAGGGGAAAGCGTCCGTCGCCGCAGACTCCGGCCCAGTCGTCCGCGTTGAGGCTGAAAGTCATGATGCCTCCGTAGCCGTTGCTCACAATCCACGACGCCTGAAATACACAATGAGTTGAGAAGTCTCGTTAATGCTATAGTGTGTATTTTCGTCATTAGCGCAGTTTGACGAATTTAAAATAAACTATAGGGGGCTTAACGATCGCCGGGTGTCCGACACAATGCAGCTACTGAGTGACACTTATCCATTCCGGCGTATAGTAGATTGCACCCTGAGATTCATCACGGGAGCACCTGCAAAGCACCTGCTACACTCTAACTAAAACTTAGAAACTTGATGTGGAGCAAATACTGAATACATTAATCCCGATGTTCTTTCGGTGAGGTCGATGCCTTGCACAGCTCGGAGCTGTTCGACCAAATCGGGGCCGTTCAGCAGACCCGCTAAGCGGCGACCAGGCAAAGCCTGGACGTCCAGAGGTGGGAGACCTAATCTTGTGTCATAAAAGTGCAAGACATTAAATAAGTGTTTTTACCTACCAAATTCATAACAGTTAGAGCCGGCCTTATTACAAGTCTGCGTTGATCACCAAATCGCAGCGGCAATATTGTTACGGGGAATAAAGTATGCACTGGAGAGCAAAAGCGTACTGGCGAATATACTGGCGACCTAATGCGTACGATGCTGCTGTAGTCCGAGCACGTTCCCGTTCAGCACTTCGTCGTCGTCATCCTCAGGCATCTACTTAGCCCGTGACATTACCCGCCGGCGGCAGAAGCACCGTCCCGGTGCGATCAATCCTCGAGGCGTGAGAAGTATGGTTTAAGCCATGAGACGTGCACTATATCGGTCGGGACTGAAGCTGGTACTGACGTCGTATGGAGCGGAGCTATCTCATAGGTCACGCTGGTGACCTTGCGTATGACGCGGTAGGGGCCAACGTAACGGGACATTAGTTTTTCGCTGAGACCAACACGACGTGATGGGAACCACAGCAAGACGAGTGACCCCGGAGAGTACTGCACGTCGCGGTGCCGGTGATCGTAAGCACTCTTTTGGTTAAGCTGCGAGGCACATAAACGATCCCGGGCGACTTGGCGGGCGATGTCAGCTCGGGCCAGGGCATCACGAGCATAAGCAGTCGATGAGGGGGCGTCAGATTGGAGCATGGTGTCTATGGGCAAAGGCGGGTCATAACCGAACAGTAGGTAAACAGGGGAAAATCCAGCTGTATCATGACGTGAACTGTTGTACGCGAAGGTAACGAAAGGTAAGTGGATTTCCCAATCTTTGTGATCCTTGGAGACGTACATTGCTAACATATTCGTCAAGGTACGGTTGAGGCGTTCCGTGAGGCCATTGGTTTGCGGATGGTACGCTGTAGTGAACTTGTGGTGGGTAGAGCAGGATCGCAGGAGCTCGTCGACTACTTTAGATAGAAAACAGCTGCCGCGGTCGGTGATCAACTGACGAGGAGCACCATGACGCAGAATGATGTCATGAAGAAGGAAATCGGCTACATCAGTAGCGCAGCTGGTGGGGAGGGCGCGTGTAACGGCATACCGCGTTGCGTATAGTCGGCAGCAATAGCAATCCACTTATTACCGGTGGCCGACACGGGAAAGGGTCCTAGAAGATCGAGGCCGACTCGGAAAAATGGCTCATCTGGTACTTCAATGGGCTGGAGGGTACCAGCAGGTCTCAGAGCAGGTGTCTTGCGGCGCTGGCAGAGGTCGCATGCCGCGACGTACTGTCGCACAGAACGGTAGAGGCCAGGCCAAAAGAATCGGCGGCGAATGCGGTCATACGTGCGTGACACCCCTAGGTGTCCAGCGGAGGGGGCATCATGCAGCTGGGCCAAATCGTCTGAGCGAAGATGCACAGGAACAACGAGTAAAAGCTCAGCACCATCGGGGCGGGTGTTGTAGCGGTGCAAGATGTCGTTGTGAAGAACGAACAGTTGTAAGGAGTGGTCAGGGTGGGGAGAGTGCAGACCATTGATAATAGCACGCAAAGAGGGGTCGCGGCGTTGTTCAGCAGCTATGTCGGTGAAGTCGGTAATTGAAAGAACGAGGGCCTCTTGCTCATCTTCCCTCGTGTCAGGGGGATCGACTGGGTAACGGGACAAGCAGTCGGCATCCTTGTGAAGTTGTCCGGATTTATACGATACGGAAAAAGTGTACTCTTGTAAGCGCAGCGCCCAGCGACCAAGGCGTCCCGTAGGGTCCTTGAGTGAGGAGAGCCAGCAAAGCGCGTGGTGGTCGGTAATAACTGAGATTGCTCGGCCATACAGGTACGGTCGGAATTTCGCAATGGCCCAGACGAGAGCTAAGCACTCGCGTTCTGTGATGGAATAATTTTGTTCCGATCGCGACAACAGTCGGCTTGCATACGCGACGACGCGGTGCATACCTTGTTGCCGCTGCGCGAGCACTGCGCCTATGCCGTGGCGACTGGCGTCAGTACGAAGCTCCGTGGCGGCAGATGGGTCGAAGTGTGCTAGGACTGGTGGATTGGTGAGAATGTCAACGAGCGACGAGAAGGCGTTTGCTTGCTGTTGGCCCCAGGTGAATGTGACATCCGTTTTGAGGAGGCAGGTTAGAGGACGGGCTACTTCAGCAAACGTCTCGACAAAACGACGGAAATAGGAGCACAGTCCCAGAAAACTTCGGACGTCCTTGGCTGAGCGGGGTGTGGGGAAGTCGCGAACTGCTCGGACTTTCGCAGGGTCTGGTTGAACGCCCGCAGCGTTAACAAGATGGCCGATTACGCAGATTTGGCGTTGCCCAAAGCGGCATTTGGACGAGTTAAGTTGCAAGTTGGCACATCGAAAAACATCAAGCACTGCGGACAGACGGGTAAGATGGTCGTCGAAAGTAGTCGAAAAAACAATAACGTCGTCAAGATAGCAGAGGCAGATGGTCCACTTCATGCCTCGAAGGAGAGAGTCCATCATGCGCTCAAATGTCACGGGGGCATTGCATAATCCAAAAGGCATCATCTTGAACTGATAAAGTCCATCAGGAGTCACGAAGGCCGTCTTCTCTCTGTCTTTGTCGTCCACAGCGATCTGCCAGTAGCCTGAGCGAAGGTCTATTGAAGAGAAATATTTGGCACCGTGCAAGCAATCGAGTGCATCATCTATGCGCGGTAGGGGATATACATCTTTCTTGGTAATATGGTTGAGATGGCGGTAATCAACACAGAATCTCCAGCTATTGTCCTTCTTTTTAACAACTACAACGGGTGAGGACCAGGGACTAGATGAGGGTTCGATTATGCCTTTATCAAGCATTTATCGACTTCTCGCTGTATAATAGCACGCTCCGGGGCCGACACACGGTAGGGTCGTCGGCGAATGGGTCGAGCGTCACCGATGTCGATGCGATGGGTTACCACGAATGTCTGGCCCAAATTACGGTCGCCGAAGTCAAAAAATGTCCTGATAAGAAGCAAGCACACGGCAGAAAGCAGAGACTTGTTCAGAGGTGAGCTTGTCAGATAACATTGGCTTGAAAAGGTCGGAACAGGAACGTGACGAGAACGACGTTGATGAAAAATCGGGTGGCGCATCGGTGGTTAGAGCGGAAACTGTGTGGTCGACCAGTGGTGTAAGATGCGCAAGTGACATGCCGCGAGGAATAACTTGCGCTGAGAGGCCGAAATTGAGGACGGGAAACGAAGTTCGGTTGTCCTTAACGGTAACCACCGTGTTGGGGAGTGCAACATTGCGTGTCATGGTGACGTCAGAAATTGGGGCAGCAACATAATCACCATCGGGTACTGCAGGATATGGCGAGAGTTGGACTTGGACTGCGGCTTGCGGCGGAAGTCTAAGGAAATCGACAGAGCGTAGACGAGGTGGGCTGGTAGAGACGGTCTCCGAAAAGGATGGTAGTTCGAGCCGAAGAAGACCTTTGGAACAGTCAATGAGTGCAGCGTGTGAAGTCAGAAAGTTGAGTCCAAGGATGAGGTCATGAGGGCAATTTTCCAGTACAGCGAACAGAACTGAAGTTTGATGCTCAGAAATTGTTAATCGCGCAGTGCACATTCCAAGCACAGCAGGAGTACTCCCATCCGCTGTACGAACGGTAGGTGCAATCGCAGGCGTCAGAACTTTTTGGAGGCGGCGGCGGAGGTCTGAGCTCATCACAGATATTTGTGCACAGGTATCAATAAGAGCAGTTATAGGTAAACCATCAACGAGAATTGTAAGGAGGTTGCACCGCTGGTCGGGAGTAATCAGAGGATTTGCAGTCCGAGTCGTGTATGCAGCGTCACCTCCGGTGGCTGCACCGGCTAGTTTTCCGAGAGATGGTCGTAGGGAGACCAAGAACGGCGGGGTTGGGCGAGTGGGACTGACGACGCATGGGCGATGGCGAGCGGCTGGTCCGACGTTCTGGATTATGCCCTGCACCTGTCTCAGCACGGTAGAACGGGGCATAAGGTGCACGTTCAGAGCGAGGCCGCCAATCATAGAAGCTCGGTCGAGGTGATGAGGTCCAACGGCTGCGGCAATGGCGAGCGATGTGTCCTATCCGATGGCACGTGAAACATATGGGCCGATCATCATGATGTGCGCCATTCAGCTGGGTTTCGTCGTGGCGCGAATGTGCGGTTCGGAGTGGCAGCCGCAACGACTGGAGCCGAGCTGGAAGTAGCAGGGGCATTTTGATGAGGTGGCGAAATGCCCATATTCGCGATCTCTTGGCGAACCACGGCCTGTATCATTGAAACAGCATCGAGGTTGTGTCCTGGCGCGCTGACGCTAGACATAGCGGGAGCCATAGCCTCGAGTTCCCTACGGACTATTCTGGTGACGTTTTCTGGCGCTGGTGGTTGGTGTAGTGTGGGCAAATCTTCGCAAGAGGACGTAGCCGCCGTGTTGGGAAGGCGGTCAAATCGGTGAACTATGCGCCTACTTTTGCCTGTTCGAAGCGACACTCTTCGATGACCGACCCCACCATCGAGAAGTCCTTGCACAGGAGAAAATTGAAGGCGTCATCCGCAATTCCTTTCAGGATGTGTCCGACTTTGTCCTCGTCGAGCATGTCCTTGTCGACCTTGCGGAACAAAGCCAACACGTCCTGGATGTAC